CCTTGTGGACGGCACTCGATCTGCGTGTGTTAAGAGCCATGGTGTGGATTGAGTACATGGTTTGTCTCCATACTGGTCCCTGCCATGATGCAATAGCATGCTCGGATCAGCCGAGGTCTGCCGTGTGGCCAACTCCGAATCTCGACTGAGACTATTTACCATTTTGGTATAGTACACACGTGATGTGATAATTATGCAAATCCCGATACATACTTGTCGATACTACTAGGATAACTTCGGGGTTTTTGTACCTATCAATCCAATTTAAACAGAAATTAGTATTATAAGAAATCCTCTGTCTGGGTCTGAGCAGCAATGGCAGTCGACGAGTAAACCTGTTGAATTTCTAGAGAAAACTACCGCCCAGATGTCTCATATTCCTGGCTCCACCAGATCAACGGGACGGGATATATATCTACCAGAAACCGGCATGCACCTGGGTACTTACTGGGGCCTGGAACACCGGCTCTAACCTAGTACGGCGGGAAGTTACTAGGGAATACGGAACACTGTCGTGATAGATGAGCTGGAAACGCCGCCACCCATGCTGATCTAGCGGGGGTTCCTCAGCCCAAAGCCGGCCATCGTCCATGGTGTGCGCCGCCTGCAAGCCACACCAGTCAGATCGCTGCACAGGCGAACACGGACGGCTGCCGTTCTCCGCACAGAGAAAGTAACACGCTGTGGCAAAATGACACCACACATGGGCAATTGCCATGGGGAAACGATGGAACAATTACCGTACCGCAAGGGGAATCCAGTCATGCTCGTGGGGGAGGGGGGGTGTTTTCCCGGTAACCGGAACGGGCTTGAGACAAGAAACGAGGGCGTTGATGCAAGGGATGAATGCGAGAAGGTTGGGTGATCAGGAGATCAGGAGATCAGGAGATCAGTAGATGCAAGGTTTGCACCGTTTAAGTTTGACGGAGGTCTGTCATCTTTGCTTTTTATTTCCTTTCTGCTTCTTGTTAGGCTGGGGATACATTTCCCACCCATTATTGAAATCAAAAGTTTGAGTCTGTTACACACTGCCAAGATCGAATCGGCCTGCTGCCGGGCGAGGCCATACTTTGTTTTCTTGTTCGGAAGACTGGACCAACTGAACTTGTCCAGCCAAAATTAAGATTCCGTTTCGCAGAAGATCAGGGGTTTTTGGCCTGGACGCAATGCGGTATTTTTTTCGCATCGCCATGAAACCGAGACCATGGTCCTGAGCACCATGTGGCCCGCACCAGGGAGCCTGCAGCATGCACAGCTAAAGAATGAGAATCTGAAGTGATGAGACTCGGGAACTGGCATGTTTTCAAACAGTCCCCCTCCTTCCCAATAACCACGCAGGGTCTAGCGTCATTGATCTTCACGGTTGCCCGTGCGGCGATCCAGAAAGAAACTACCTCGTTCTCTGCACCACCGTACTGCGTAGATCAAATTGTATTTGTCGGCCGATCTCTCTCTCAATCATCTACTGAGTATATGATTCATCACTCCAAATGCGCACCCGGAAGTAACTGCCGACGTGAATATACCTAACGAGAACTCTATTATAGTGTGACAGTGATGACCAAGAAAACCTGGTGGTGGGAGGTCCTAGTATGTCAGGAGGTGTCTTAGCTCGGGCATGCGCTCTGATCTCATCGTTTGGAGGCGAGACACGCCTCCACAACATGGGGCAGATTCTGGTGAGGGCTTTTTACTATTCGATTAGCTTGTTTAAGAGTGAATTCGTGTGTCTCGAAGCTGAGGTTAGGTTTGATGCATGGAATTGTTGACAATCAGAGGCCTGTTCGCTGCATCTATCTGAATTTTGCGCCTGAACTAGTTGTATGTAATAGATTGCATGCATCTGACAAGGTAATCTGGATTACGACACTCGTATAAGCTCCCAAAAGGGCGTAAAATGACTATTTGGAGACAGGGACAGCAATGAGCTGCCGGGTAGCCAGACTAACTCGGTCTTCTCAGACACGGTAGAAGATAGGGATTGTCTCAATCGGGCAATCCACCTCGACCTCTGTGCCGCCCTTGTACACACCGGGAATGCTACTTTTGGAGGCGCTTGTCTTGCCCCAGAGAGTCCAGTATGCGCCGACTGGAAGATAGACAGTAATCTTGCGTTGACCAGGCTCAAGGACTGGCACAACTAGATATCGTGGCCCAAACATATACGCTGTCTCAATTTCCCAGGCTCGCTGGTCATGGGGAAATTCGTAGAAAACTGTTCGCATCACTGGGGTACCTTTCTCATGCGCCTCTTTCATCAATCCCCGAGTATAATCGCGCAGCTCCTCACGAATTCCAATGAACTTCTTGCAAATCTCGTAGATTTCGTCGCCATATGACCATATCTCATTATTTGCTCCACTGGCAGTTGGCTGTCCTTCTGGCTTTGGCTCACGATCCCCATGCAATCGCATCACAGGACAAAATGTACCCCATTGAAACCACCTAGCAAACAGCTCACGAAATTCTGGGTCATCTGGGTTGCCGCCATGAAACCCACCAATATCTGTGGTCCACCATGGAATACCTGCAAGTCCCATATTCAATCCTGCTGCGAGTTGATTCCGGAACGAACCCCACGAGGATGCAATGTCACCACTCCAGACCAACGCACCGTAGCGTTGACTGCCGGCCCAGGCACACCGGAGTAAGTTAACGATGTTAGTTTGACCTTCCACCTCCATCCCTTCATAAAATCCGCGAGCATATTCCTTTGGATAGATGTTTCCAACTTGAAGATTACTGCCAGCATGATAACGGAAGATATCGAAATCGTAGATAGAATATTCGGGTTCAGCCTCATCAAGCCAGAATACCTTGATTCCATGCTTATAATAGTTATTCTTTGCCTTATTCCAAACATACTCTCGGGCCTCTGGATTCGTGGCATCGAAGTGAGTGATATCACCATCACATTGCATTGCCACTCGCAAGCCACGATCGTGTCGAATTAAGAGACCGCGTTCCAGCATTTCGGGGTAGTTCTCCGATTTATTTTCGACTGTCGGCCAGACAGAGACCATAAGCTCTACCTTGAGCTCTTTAAGCTCTTGAATCATTGCTTCTAAAAGAGCGTGAGAAGTAGTCAAAAGCTTCCGATAGGGATATCGCTGATTTACCAGGATCAGGCCAAAATTCCGGATCAAAGCTCCATTCTCCTTGATGCTTCCAATGAAAGAAATCAATCACGATCAAGTCCAGTGGAACCTCACGGCGATGATATTCTCGAGCAACGTTCAGCAATTCCTCCTGGTTCCAATAACGCAGCTTACACTGCCAGAAGCCCAGTCCATATTCCGGCATCATTGGTACATATCCAGTTACCTTTGCATAGTGCTCTTCAATTTCGGCTGGGGTATCGCCGGCAACCACCCAGTAATCGAGGGCTCGCGTGGAATATGCTTCAAAGCTCATAACGTTCGTCCCGAGCATTGCACGGCCGATACCCGGGTTATTCCATAGAAAGCCATATCCTCGAGATGAGACGGCAAATGGAACACTCGCCTGGGAGTTGCGGTGTGCTAGTTCCAACTCCGTACCTTTGAGATTCAAGTAAGGTTGTTGATACTGCCCCATGCCGAAAATCTTCTCTCTTCGATCCAGAGATTCGAAGCGCATGGTAAGATGATAGTCACCGCCAAGGATGGGCCGTAGTTCGCGTGCCTCAATTTCCAGGGCACTACATTTAGGATCACGAGGATCTCGCCTATGACGTGCGTATTCTTCGAGAAGTTTGGTTCCATTCGAGTCGTAAATGATGACCTTGCCTCGAGGAGACACTGTGGCTTTGATTTTCCCATGAGTTATGCTTGCATCTTCCCCATCTGGTATATCTATATTTACGCGTTGGCTTGAAGGCTTGAATGCGAGAGCCCAGTCTTCTGTTGGCATCGATGATAACTTGGTGGCTCGCACGCGGAACGCATTTTCGCCCCAAGGTTCGATCCAAAGAAGGTGGTCGTCAAAGCGAAAGACGAGCTTTTCATCCTCAGAATAGAGCATCTTGCATTGATATTATGAGGTGCCGAGTGATTGAAATTGAGCGAGGTTGTGGTGGTGAGGGGACGTCGAGGTTGGACGAGTTGTAGGTTGTACTAGTGGGTCTGTGAGGGGCCAAAAGTCCCATCTAAAAGAACACGGCATTGTCTCCGTGCTGAATTTGACCAACTTTGGGATTTACATGATATGCATATCAGTGAGGTGCCATCATATTTTTCTCTTCATGTTCTAGTTGCTCCGAGTCGTAAGGCAGTAGTCATACTAGTAGTAGTATTGGATGTGTCATTCAAGTTCGGAGCGGGATTGTATACTTGAAACAACAGCCCTGCGTTCCTATATTAATTCACCAACAGTGCGATCGCCACAATATACTAGTTCTATTTTAATAGTAAATATACAAATAGATCCTCGGAGCCTACTTTGAAACCTTGGAAGGATTGATTACCTTTGATTTATGAGTGAAATTTGACGACCGAGCCTTCTACATCCCTCTTCCTCTGAGGGCTTAACGGAGTATTCCTGAGGGCCAGGGTGGGGTTGTGATTTGTACATAAAGAGATTCTCCAAGTTCTGACAATGCAAGGAACCCGTAATGTCAACAATTATCGAGAAAGCTGGAATGATTAGTGCCTGTGAGACTATAAAGGGCGCCTTTTGAACCTCAACCATCTGCTGCGTTTAGCCCCCAATCTTCGGACATGATTGCTGACACGTAGCATACCCAGCTGAGATGGGGCGGACTGTCACCGAATAAGCACATTGATTAAACCAAGGAAAATCCTGGCGGGCTTTGTTCTTCCCTCTCACCATATCCCTCGTCAGAAAAAACGAAGAAGGTTAACACGTTCAAGTTAATAATACCGCGACGTTGGCGATAGGGTCTCCCCACACACGCTAGTCCCAACTGGGCGGAACGCGGGAAGCTCCCACTCGCTCTTTTCTCCTCTCAACGACCCCCTCTGTTCCATCCTAGCTTGCGACATTCAAACATTCTAAAACCCATGGCGGACACATCTGCCAATGGCGATCGGCCAATTGCCGATGCCTCCATGGACATCGACATGGACATTGACTTAGGTCCCGAGCCTGAGCTTGAGCCCGGCGTTGAGCTGATCCAAACTGTGAGCCTTCCCAGCCACATTGCGCCTGTCATGCGCGGACGATACTGATACCCCATTGTTATCATATAGGATTCAGCTGCACAAGCCGAGCCTATGGATCAGCTTGCTGAAGAGGCAGTCTACGAGAAAGTCCACGTGCGCGGCGTGGATGAGATGACCACCGAGAATATCAAGCAATTCGCCCATAGCCACTTCGACCAGGAAATGCCAGCTCGCGTCGAGTGGATCGACGATACATCCGCCAATATTATATATTCCTCTCCGGAGATCGGCCTGCAAGCGCTTGCGGCCTTGACGCAAGTCGGTGAAGAGGGGGATGATGGGTCGGCCCTCCCACCTCTCCGTCTTCGGTCGGCCAGGCTTCTACCCTCTCACCCAGATTCGGTTCTCCAAGTAAGATCAGCCGTAAAAACCGACCGCAAACAGGCACGCGCACACGAAAAGAGTCGATTCTATCTCATGCACCCCGAGCACGATCCCCGCGAACGCCTGCGAGAGGAACTTTCGGACCGAAGACGCGGGGACGACGACGGTTACCAAAGACGTCGATTCGACGACCGAGAACTGCGCCGGCGCAAGGACCGCGATCACGATGACCGATTCAGTGCCAACATGTATGACGACAATCCAGCGAGCTACTCCGACTCGGAACGCGACCGTGGTGATCGGAGACGACGCAGATCGCGGGAACTGTTCCCGGAGGATGAGGGTTCCGCTGGAAGACTTCGTAACCGCAGCGCCTCGCCAGGCCGAGACACACTCGATGATACAGGACGTGTCGAAACCAGCAATCGCCGCAGGCGGTTCCGTGAGCGGTCTCCCCGTGGAAACAAAGGAAGAGAACTCCTCCCATCAGATTCAGGCGCCCGTGAACTATTCCCCAATAAGCCCTCATCAAGCTATCTCAAGAAAGAGCTGTTCCCGAGCAAATCGAGCAACCATCGTCGATCCGATGCTTTCGATGCTGCAGATGAGACACCGGATCTTCTGCGCCGCAGGATTACTGTCCCACCTAATCGCAATGTCGAGCTGTTCCCCGACTCAGCGAAGGAGGACCAGGGGTTTGCAATGAGAGGTGGACAACAGGGCATGTCGATCAAGGGCCGGGGTGCATCGGTTCGCGAATTGTTCCCAGACAAGTATAACAATAACAGCAATGCTGGAAAGGAGCTGTTCACCGAACCCCTGGAGGGTCGTGGAGGCCGTCGGCGGAAAGCAGAAGATATGTTTGGTTGAGTTCAATCCTCCAGATATATCGTGTTATTGATCAAATTTAAAGGACGAGCATTTTTATTCATCGTTTCATGAGGGATTCATCGGCAGCATGGTTCGATATGGCGTTGCTGGGAGGATTTTGGATAGAAATTGCATGACGCAAGCTTTGTTCTGCGCTCCAAACAAACGTTTATGTACAGTAGTATTTCTTCTTATTTATTTCCAAACAAGGGACAAAAAAGACACAAATTTCCTTTCAAGTCAAAATTCCGAAAGCTTACCCAAGGTTGTCAATGTGGTGAGATAAAAGTTTTCCGCTTGAAGGATAACCCGCCGAATATCAACGTGGCGCCACATTCAAATTGCATCTCAACTTCAAATCCCCGCAGGCCGCAACCAAGTGACCATGGCACCAACCGCACCGATAGAAGTACTCACAACCGCACTGGTTGCGCGGTTTTTAAGAACGAACAATTACTCAGAGACCCTCAAAGCTTTAATTCGCGAGGCCGGACTTGCTTCCGACGTGGGGCAGAGCTCGGGCGACGACACCAACAATTGGACCATCCAGGGCCTGCTGGAGGAGAAGAAGGCCTATGATCACAGTGCGAACTTCGAGCGATACGGAAACGATAACAGAGAGACTGCTCCATGGAGCGAGCCAGGTATGGGTTAACTATTATTTCGGTACCTGTAGCAATGGCGTACTCGCACAGGCTGACCAATACACAGCACCGAGTAAACCGAGCATTGTGTCAATCCCGACATCATCGAACATTCTTGCAGCATCAGTTGAGCCGTGGCAGAAACCTCGTGATGACGAGACACTAGTCCCATCACCAGGGCCGTTCATCGTCTCCACGGGAGCTGATAGACAGGTGCATCTACTCGAGACTGCGGCTGGAAATGCACAGTTTGCTTCCTTCTCCGGCCTATCAGACTCGCCTGTGCTTTCCTACCTGTCGATTCTGGAGGGTCGCTATGTACTCATGACCAACATGTCGGGACAGTTGCTTCTGCAGCACGGATCTCGCACGCTGGACAGCAGGAAGGACCATGCAAAATATGCTGTCAAGGTCGTTGCCCACAAAGATCGCAATGACCCAAGCGTATTTTGGGTTGCGACTGCTGGCTGGGACTCAAGTGTGATCTTATATCGCTTACATACCCCGGATGAAGCCAATGAGGATGCACATTCACCAGCGCTTGGGGAGCCCGTTGCCCGTATTAACACAACGTCAAACCCGGAGTCTATAGTTTTTGTACCCCATGTCGATACAGGCGAGCTGATTCTGCTCGTTTCCCGCCGCGACTCGTCCTATATCTATTACTACCAGGTTGAATCAGTACCAAATGAGACCGGGAATCAGAGTGCAACCGATTTCGAGTGTCGTCTCATGGGGCGTCAAAATCTAGCACCCCATTCCAACGCCTGGGTTGCTTTCTCTCCAGCCCACATGGCACTCAGCCCTCACGACCCCGGTCTTTTAGCTGTTGCTACCTCGACATTACCGCACTTGAAAGTGATTATCGTGCGTCTTCTATTCCCATCCACTACTGAAAAGGATGAATCGAATACATCGACCTCGGATGTTGCGGTCACGCAAGCTTCTCAGGCATTGGAAGCTCTGGCACTGCAGAACAAGGAAGATGCAGCCATTCTCGTCCAGGCCAACACTACTGCACCGCAGACGGCATACTCGACTCCGCAAGTTGCATGGCGGCCTGACGGCTCGGGAGTCTGGGTAAATGGCGATGATGGTGTGGTTCGTGGTCTCGAAACGAAAACTGGGAAGCTTATAATCATGCTGAAAAATGGCCATGAGCCAGGCTCTAAAGTGCGGTCTGTTTGGGCAGGATACGTCGATGTGACACAGGAGGGCAAGGACCCAATCCGAGAAGAATGGGTCATTAGTGGCGGATTTGATAAAAAGTTGATTGTTTGGCGGGTATGATCTCCATGTACATAGACCTGCTTGATTACACTTATCGAGATGTTGAGGAAAGATTGGTTATTGAAAATATTGTATGACATCACATGAGTCTGGATAAAACTTGATATTGATTGGAAACAAATTAAGATACTGCTTACGAGGATTGTAGCCGTCCATAAGATACCCACCCGTTCGCCACGAAAATGCGAAAAGGCTATAGGTAAAGAGGGGGGCAGGGGATCCGTTCTTGGCACGTAATAGAAAAATCCTTCAGCAGGCGCGCATAGAAAAGCACGTTGCTGTACACACATATGCCGTGTTGATGATGGGGGGAAGGGGACTCGAGTCCTAAGCTCGAGTGAGAGTGGAAGTCTATTTTCCGCGCGACAGAAATAATCCTGAACGCAGAAAGAAGACGCAAGAAGCAACTAGATTCGCGTAGAACGGAGAGGAACAGAGCAAGGGGATATAATCCCGCTCAAGGATTGGCGTTACTGCGCCTTTTTCGAATTTAAGCCTGTTGGATTTCTGTTTATCAAACAACCCCGAACATGCCGCGCAAGGACTAAGCAGAAAACCAGGCCTTATTCGAATGAGCGGACCGTTCGTTGGTCATCGCACGTTATTGTCCCCGTGTCCTTGCGCGCTCGCTTCTCAAGCCATTTCCATTTTTCAACGTCGTCAAATTTATGCGTGCTCACGCTTGCCCTCCTTGCGCTCCTTCTGTTTCATTTGTTAGCTTTCGTTCCGGTGGAATATTTCGACAGCTTGAAATCGTCGAGAGCGGGATGTGAGGCGTATGGTTGAACGTACCAGGGCCTTAGCGGTGCCGTGAAGAGCGTGACGGTGGTTGCGGCGGAACTTGGGGTCGACACCGTTGAGGGAAGGGTAACGGTTGGTCTTGGGCTTCTTGATACTGCACAGGAAATCAACATCAGTGACTGGTCGGAGTGTAATTGCGAGGCGAAGCATGAAGCGTAGTGGTCTGGCATGAAGCTGAAGGTCGAAGGATCTCGTGTCGGCTTGAACGGATACTTCAAATTGATTCAACCTGCAACACCATGTTCAAGTTCAAACAGTCGATCTCCTCCCCCTTCAATCAAAGCAAATTGACCGTGGTGCATCGTAGACGAATCTTCAAATTGGTTCATGCCGGAGTAATCGAAATATGAGGGAATACGCACCCGTTACGGTGAGCCTTCTGGCTGGCGTGGTGCTGGGACGCGTTCTTGGACTCTGTAGAGCGCACAATGTCAGCGATCGATTATTTTTTTTCACGAAGGGCATAATGAAGGCCCTCATATGCCTGGAAAACGTACTGGCCATCTTGTCGGATGTTGTCGTTAATTGACGTGGACGGGATGGTGGGAGAAGAGTTAGTGACGGAGGCGGCCCAAAATGGAGGTCGGCTAGGGCTTGTGCCGTTTGTGTGGGATCTCGCTTACCGCCGCGGTGCACGGACGTTTCACTATGGGCTGGACTCAGGATCGTGCTGCCCCAGGCAGGTCAGGGGTATAAATGTTGGAGATGGATTGAAAGAATCTGTCCTATTTACTTTTATGAAACCCGGGTTTACTTATTCATAGTCAAGGGCAATTAGATCGCTTCAGGTGAAGCTCAAGAAAACCCGGACATCACGTGACTCCACGGATATATTTTACCACGTGATCTTGAACTATCGAGCTGCGGTCGAGGCCAAACTCTCTTCTTGACTCTCTATAATGCTTCGATGCATTTGAGTGATCTAACTGCGCAAATTAATATCCAAATTGGCTGGTGATTTATTGCCGAAACCCTTGGGTATCAGGTATTTGCACGCGATCGAGTCTCCCCGCTCGGGAAATACCGTGGCCAGTAATTCAGTAGACAGTAGATTCGAGAGAGTAATTTGAGAATAAATGAGTCGAAACATGTGGTTAAGGTCTAGTATGAATGAGTAAGAAACATAATCACGACAATGCAAGCATGGAGGACTGGCCCTCAATATTGAGCCCGTATTCTTCTACGAGATGGAATCTCTTCTGATCGGCGATAACGATGGAACAAAAGAAAGAAAGAAAGAAAGCGGAGTAGTGTAGGAAGTTGAGAAAAACAATGCTGACACAACCCAGCCAGTTTCACCAAATGGTTCAACCCGAGATAGATAGATACTTTATGTACTCCGTAGTCGCAGCAGTCGCAGTAGTCGGCAGCACAACTGTTGATCCCGGGTGGTCTCACCACGTGACCCGGAGCGCCGGTTGTTCCCTAGCGCGGTCCGACTTCGACCTTTGCAACGCAGACGCATCAATCAAGAGGGATCCCTCCAGCCGTTCCAACCCCCAATCATTGCAAGATGAACTCCTTCCGCTTCGCTCGCTCTGCCCTCCGGGCCCGTCCCTCCATGTTCAGCGCTCCTGTCCAGCGCCGTGGATACGCCGAGGCCGTTGCCGACAAGATCAAGCTGTCCCTGACCCTTCCTCACCAGGTACGTTGAACCTCCCCGGACTGACCTCCGCCCGCGGAACTGTAGGCTAACTTCGTATCTCTTTGATAGACCATCTACCGCTCGACCGGCGTGTGCGTTCCTCCATCCTGCGCACCCACATCTGTCCCTCCCTGAATACTGACGAATCTTTTGCGACCACAGGACCCAGGTCAACATCCCCGCCGCCTCCGGTGAGATGGGTGTCCTCGCCAACCACGTTCCCTCGATCGAGCAGCTGAAGCCTGGTCTCGTTGAGATCCTTGAGGAGGGTGGTGCCACCAAGCAGTACTTCCGTATGTCCTTCGACCCTATACTCGACCTGACGGAGAAATATCGACAGCGAAGTGAAGGAATAAATTAGCTAACAACCGACGCAGTCTCCGGTGGTTTCGCCGTCGTCCAGCCCGACTCCCAGCTTAGCATCAACGCCGTCGAGGGCTTCCCTCTGGAAGACTTCAGCGCCGATGTAGGTTTCTCGATACTTCACGAATCCGCGGATAATAGTGATGAATGAATTATACTAACTCGTGTCTCCTCTAGGCTATCCGCAACCAGATTGGTGAGGCCCAGAAGATTGCCAGCGGCAGCGGCAGCGAGCAGGACATCGCCGAGGCCAAGATTGAGCTTGAGGTATGATATTCTTCACAATTAGCTGCCCGGTGACCCAGCATATACTAACTCACCAATAGGTTCTCGAGACCCTGCAGGCCCTCGTCAAATAGATGTACATATCCACTTGCGCACTTCCCATCCGTTTGAACGTGTAGAATTACAGCAATTCGAGATTTCTTTTTCATCCAATTGGATTCTCCTTTTCCTTTTTTTCATTTACCTAAGGTTGATTTGATTTGATTTGATATGAGCTCCTTCCCGTTTTGTGGTAGATGGGAGGTACCTTCCCTCGGTGTATCAAGTCTCGTGACTCCCGCGACCTCCCACAGCTAAGCTATACTCTAATCGAACTCTCGACTCTGAACTACTTCACTTCTTCTTCCCCTTTGCGCATCAACCATGCGATCTGTGAAACACCCCCTCGGAAGCATTGACACTCGTCTCACCATGACTGATTCCCTTGTGGACGATCACCTTCATTCCCCGTCTCTCGCTTCTATGGTATTCATGGACAGCATGCAGCCTGGTAACCAGGGGACAGAAGAGACGGATTTCTTTATAGGCTCCCACTTATCATTGCCTGTTCGACGTCCCGGAAAGCGATACCCTCGCCCCGAACTTGATGTCGCCATGGACAAGTATTATACCCTGGATGGTTTCGCTGGGCCTTTGAACCCCCAGAATACCCCGGCTTCACACACTTACAGTGGCTCTGGCAGTCCGCAAGACACATGTCGCCGTATCAAGACCGATAGTCTTCGGACTAGCTCTGCCCCTCAGGCATTGTTCATCGACTGGTGTCCCCCTGGCAGCTCGCTGAACCTAATTGACAATGACGATCTACTAAACTGTCAATCCCGACGCTTCTCTGCAGATGATGAGCCATGTTCTACTACCCCAATTACTCAGATAAAGAAGTCTGGCAAAGCTGCAGAGTCTCATCCCAAAAGATCTTTGGCTGATATCATCTCGTCCGCAAGATGTGTTCGATTTTCTCCACCCCCAACGCCGTCTGGACACTCGCCGCGCCCAATCCAACGTCCTCTCCCCTCAATCGAACGAAAGAACGACTACATTTCTTCGTTCCGACAGCAGAAGCAATTTGAAAAGTGGAGAGTGGCAGCTCGTGCCAAAAGCCAAAGGGTCTCTCCGTACCGCAGCTCTAAAAAGTTGTCACGACCAGCGTCGATTCAGCTGAACGCCCAACCTGAGATTTGCTTTTCACCCTCCAAGATGCCTCTACATCAAGACACTGACTCTTTCGGCAACTTGAAGTCTCAGGAACATACTGAGACGAACATCCATCGAGATGAAACCATTACCGCTACTAAACATCAGCGACAACTATTTAAATTGGTCGCCGTGTCTCTCTCCCTCCATCATATTCGAAACGCTACCAAGTCCTCCGAATCGGGACCGCGAGCAATGAACCTCCAGTTGTCATACTCGCTTCGACCAATCGGCACGCGCCTTCAAGACGAGGAAGCGCAGAATGTCGTGAGCTGTGCTACTATGAACGATTTGCTCCTGTACATCTTTTTCATTGTGCCTGAATTCGTCCTGCGTGGGCCCCTTGCCATCCTCCACACTCTCAATCGCGTCGCTCATACACGGACTGGCCTTGCAGCACTTTTCGTCCTTCGCCTATTCTGGTCCATCTTTCTGGAGCTCATTGCTCCAGTTCTGAGCAAGATGGGAATGAACGCCATCTTGCACTCCAACTTCAGAGCTAAATACTAAATCAAATGCTTTTAGCATCGGCTGTTTCTTTTCACATCACGCCACCATCCAAAAGGTCGACCTTGAACTATATCAACCTATCACCACGATATTTATGTCTCAAACCACTCTTTAAACCACAGATGTCCCACAGTCTCCCTCTCTCACATGTTATTTCCGACTCCTGTCATGCAATATGGAGACTTCCAACGGTTGACCCGTATTCATTATGATCACAGAAGATAATATATGTATTATGTCAAATCATTCATGTGCTCAGCTATCCACATAATTCCGTGCTTCTTCCTCCCCTTTGAGAAATTGAATAGATGAAGGATGGAGTTCCATTGTTTTCGCTAAATGGGAGAGCTGGGGCCGGGGGAGATATGTTGGGATTTTCGATGGATGTTATTTCCATAGTTAACTACGGTCGGTTATCATAAAAAATAACGTGGCATACAAATAAAGTATAAAATGATGTGAAATCAAGATCAAGATCTGGTATATTGGCACGAAGTGCAGGACAACTCAATAACTCTGAACCGACCAACAACTCAAATAAAAGATGAAAAAGAAAAACTTCCATAAATTCGCTTGCCTCATGAAATCAAACGGGATCCTACCCAAACAAGTCATTTCCATTGCAGCATATCCAGAAATAAAGAAAAACATCAATCACATGTCACATGTGAGGCCATTCATATCAACACGAAAGCTCCAAAGTAGAAGCTCATTTTGTACAAGTCATGACGGTGAAATACATAAAAGAAAACGGAAAAGGGGAATAGGGAACAAGGAAAGGGAACAAAGAACCCCTGGAATTTTCTTACTCAAACTCCACTCCGTGCTGTTGTTGCCTCTCTTGCCGCGCTCGAGCCCGCTCTGCTCGTCGGCGTCGACGGTTATTAGCGTATGATCCACTGGCTTCCGTACCGGTCCATGTAGGTGAGGTGACACTGCCCGCACCGTAGGGCATGCTGGAGGGGGCCGCATGGGGAATTGGAGGGGGCGGTGGCATGTCGCTGATTTGTGAGTGAGGTGGAGCAAAGGAGGGAATGCTTCCGGCAGGACCAGCAGATGTATGCGTCGCAGCGGCAGCGGTAGCTTGCTCGCGCTGGATCTGTTCTGCTTGTTGTCTCTCTAATTCCTCGACGCGGCGCCAACGATCACTCTCCCGTCCCTCGTCGCCAGAGATGGAGCTTGCGCTACCGTTGCGGCGTCGAGAGTCACGGCGCTCTCGTCGTCTAGCTTCGCGACTAGCTGCGGCTTCTTGCTCGGTCAAACGACGAAGAGTCACATGGCGTCCATCGCCGTGCATTTTCACCTTGACTGACACCGGTGGGGACTCGACATGATCGTCGCGATGTCTACTATCATCTCGGCGTCTGCTATCATCTCGGCGTCGACTGTCATCACGGTGCCGGCTGCCACTGTTGCGACGACGGCTGGCTGCACCCAATGCTGCTGCTCCAGCGGCTCCAGCTGCTGCACCGGCAGCCCAATCCTCACCGTGGTGATCACCGTGCGAAGAGGGCATCTCAGACACCAAGTCCCCAGAGTAATGCTGGTGCGCCGGCGGGATGGGAGGCATATCAGAAGGAGTTACATGGACAGCACCTGATGCAACGGGTTCAGGGGAGAGAAAGGGAGTCGCCATGCGATGGCTGACGAGGTGGACGGGGAGTAAGATCGGTTGGTGTGAGGTCACTCTCTGTATAAGAGCTGGGTTTGCGTCTTTGAGGATAAGGCCCTGCCTGTGACTGTGGGCGTCGTTTGCTGTTGGCTCTTTGAAGGCGTTCATCTTCCTCATCCTGACGGCGGATGTCCTCCATTCGGCGTTTCTCTTCATCATCTTTCTTTCCACGGCTGAACAGTCGCTTCATGGCACCAAAGGCACCAGCACCAAGGAGTGCATCACGAACTCCATGCGAGGCCTTTCTTGGCGGCTCTGTAGAATAGGCACTGTCGTAATAGTACGAGGATCCAGGGCTCTGGGTCCTGCTTGGTGGCCGGCTTGGAGTTTGGCCTGGAGGTCGATGGAGCGGTGTCTGATGGGTGGGTTCCGGTCGTCCCTCTTCCAGTCGACTGAAAGAATCTTCGCTGTAGCTGTCTGTACGCGAATGGGCAGGTCTATACCGACCTGCCTCGGAGTCATCTTCACGCTTCTTTCGGCGGTCCCACCAGCTCTTCGCAAGCATAGCACCTCCAGCTAGGGCACCAATCTCCAGAATCTTCTTTCCCCAGCCACCACCTTCTTTGCTGTGGCGAGAGGATTCATCTGAGTACTTCTCATCTGATAAGGAAGTGCGAGAATCTTCGTAGGCTTGGCTGGTATTCCGGCTCCGCGGTCGTCGACGGAACACGGAAGCCAGCCCTGCGGCCAAAGCTCCCCCAGCCAGCACTCCTCCAAGCCCGCTGTGGTGATTGTGCTCTTCTGTCACCACAGATGGACCGTCTAGTCGGCTTCCATGCTCACTGGGTAGGTGGTACCCTTCATCGTCGTAAAGATAAGAGAGTACAAAATAGGTGACCAGAAGCGCGAATGCTGCAAGGGCGTATAAAATAAATAGGAATTTAGGTGAACCATATAGAGTAAGACCAAGAGGAATTTGGATGATCCCTAGAATGGCCAAGCTTCGACCGAGCCAGCGGTGGATCTGTATACGATGTCAGTGAATGGATCAAAATGGAGATTCTCTGCGAGGAGGCACTCACCACTAGCTTCAATGGCACACGATGTCGCTTTCTCTTGCTCTCCATCTTGTGTGTAAGCCAGCCCCACAGGACCTGGAAAATGACCATGACATAGATTGCTAGGCCAATTCCGTGGTGTGGGTTGGTCAGGCTCCGCTCTGGCCCCACGGCAAACCAGCCAAGTACAAACACTACCGTTGTCAAAAGTAGCGTCATAACTTGACACCAGGCATGTAACTTAAATGCCCAGTAGGGATTCCATCGGGAGTAATATCGGATGAGTAGGGTTGACATGGGAACGATGCCCAAGAAGACGATGGTTGCGATGACACCGTGGGCAATGATTATAGAATGATACCCAGCCATGTCCTTGAAACGATTCCCCATGCCTGAGAAGAATATTAATTGGGCTGAAACAGGCTCAAGAGGTGTGTAGCTCTTGACTCACCATTATATCGCATCGTTTCGAAGTTCAGACCCATCAGATTGGGCAACAAGAAAGTATCGCGCTGCGTATCCCAAGTGCCATCTCCAACATGTAGTGTGTTCGACGAGTATGTGCTGCTTCCAGCAGCCGCCAACCCGGAGTCAGACATTGTGCTGGTTGTTCTCAAAGTCTCGTGCGATCGAAAATAACTGGAATGTCGGGATTACTGAAGGAGATCTCGTGTGATCTCCCGATCCGAGGAATGCACCATGCGACGGGCGCGAATCAATTGGAATGTTGTATGACAGCTGTCGAGACAAATGAATTGCTTCGTTGACCGCAATTTAGATGGAGATTGGTATGTGTCAAGTGAAGGGCTGGATCGTTTTCTGGCGGTGTATGCTAGCGTGTGTACTTCGCAAATAGGTTGTGAGGCAGGAGGAATGGAAGTACGTCGGGGGAGTTGTAGGAAAGAAGGAAGTCGTACAGACTGCGATGCAGAAGTCGACTAGAATGGAAGAGGATTGCAAAAACAGCCAGCCGCAAGAGATTCGATGGAAAGCGAGCGAAAGTTGTACAGGATCAGGTCAACACGGGCTGAGAGTGCCTTCTCAGCCCGTGTCAACTGTTCTCCATTTCGGGTTTAGCGTGCCAGCGCATTCCCGCAGCAACGAGACTCTGCCAGTCGTGACCGCCTTCCCGTCTTAGTCCGCATCAGATAAAAATCACCTGATATCGTCGTTATCTCGTTATCTCGTTATCGGCACGGGGTCTACCGTCATTCTCAGTGGAACCTGCGAGCTCGTCATCTCCTTCCCCCTCCTTTTCTCGCCAGAAATCAATAATAACATCAGAGGACCTCTTTGCAGAACGGCAGCAATGTCTGTACCTCAGTCAGAGGTTTTTGTGCGGGCTCTGTCACGGTAAGTAACTCAAATATTGCTACGTTGCAGCGATCCGCAGCATGTAGTAGTGGTGACCCCGATGTTGAAACTCAAATACTGATAAGTCGGAAATGCGACAGTCTCTTGGGATGGTCCTAGTATGTTCACTCAGTTCCTGCTCCCTCTGGGAGCTATCGATTTGCAGAACCGCCTTACTAAATCCGATTGGAATATAGCATGTTTAGCTGGTCGGCATCCTTTTATCCACAACCGATCTACAACTTCCAACGAAAATCAACGGCCGGCCTGGCAATCGATTTCCCAACCGTCAACTTTTTGGGGTTTGGATGCTACAGTGTATACACGGGGGCTTTTCTCTACTCGCCGTTGATCCGTGATCAGTATGCAGCACGGTACCCAGCATCTCCGGATAATACTGTGCGGTTCAATGACTTCGCGTTCGCGGTACATGCCACCGTCCTGAGCATCATCATATATTCACAGTTCTGGCCATCTATTTGGGGATTCTATGTTTCGCGCTTTCAACGAGTTAGCAAAATAGTGCTGGCGTTATTTTGGGGCTGTGTTCTAGCACCCCTGGTACTCATTTGGGTGGTGTTATCATGTAGCCCAGACGGAGGGTATGACCCTTCGACGTGGGCATGGATTGATGTGGTAAGTTTCAACCGGAAGAGCCGCCACAAGGCACATGAGCAGTCTCGGTTAGCAGACTAACGCAGGAACCCTCCATCCGGGTCTTAGATCTATACATTCTCATATATCAAGCTGCTTATCACGGTGGTCAAGTATGTGCCTCAGGCATGGTTGAACTACAAGCGGCAGTCAACGGTGGGCTGGAGCATCGCCCCAATGCTGTTTGACTTGGCAGGTGGTGTTCTTTCCCTTGCTCAGCTGGTCTTGGACTCGAGTCTCCAGAGCGACTGGAGTGGGATCACGGGGAACCCGGTCAAGCTGATGCTGAGCAACGTCACCATTTTCTTTGACCTGATCTTCATTGTTCAGCACTATATCTTGTACCGGGAGTCGGCGGGTCCCAAGGTACAATCGGATGACAATCTGACCACGCCGCTTTTGGCCGATGCCCATGCACCTCCCCGTTCGCGTGGAGGATGAGACATTTGTTTAAGATTCGATCGATCGTAGTTTAGATAGACCAGATCTGTTGGGTGAACAGGGAGGGGCAAAATCCAAGACATTCATTCTGTGGAAGCAGCACTATTTTCGTAGAGTACAAAAAGCTGAAAGCGGCTTAGAGGAGGCAAGACAGCGAGACATTGGGGGCGGGCGCCAACATACCCTAGGAAAGGACCCCCCAACATCCCGAATGCCGTGAGACACGGTTCATGTGGGCTTCGTATTATCAATCCAGGCGAGGTTCGGTAGTGTTGGTCATCCCCCGCTTCGTCATGTGTGGGATCCGTGGGTCAGGCTGAACTGCCAACCCAACGGGGTCCTTGGGTGACCGAATACTCGTACTCTTTTTGAATACGCTCCCGTTACCTCACCCAAGGCTCAAATGCCGAGAAAGGTATGTGGTGCGAAGCAAATTGTACTGGCCCATATACCCCTCAGCCCTACCAAAACGATCTAGACAATTTATTTGGAACCAACGGAAGTCAACGGGTGGCTTGAAATCGGCATGAGCCATGCAGAGATGACGAGTCGGGCTCTTGTTGCGGAATTCCGAAGCGCGTCAGCCCTAACTTTCCCCTCTGCTGGGCCTGGGGGAGGACACCGCTTCTCGCGTTTGGGAGAGTGCAGCAGCTTGAATCCTCCCGCCTGGATGCTTACTTGTGATAGGTTCATCATGGCGCTAAATGCGAACTGCCCAATCAGCACTGCTCCTTGGCCTGTGACAGGGATCAGGGGCCGGCTCTAATCGTCGGTGTCGGGCAGTTCGGGGATCAGCTGAACTTGAATGAACGCACCCCAGGCCGCATTCCAATGGTCTCTTCTGGACTGTACTGCCATCCTTGCTTGTTTCAGGAAGGATCGTCAATGTAGTATGCTGTCTTCAAATACATGCTGTCGATATCGATGAGCCCCATACTACCTTGGACTTCGAGCATGGTCCCAAACCCGTGAATACTACCTTTATGTTGCCGTCGCGCCCAGGCGCCCATAATCAGCTACCAACTACCAGCTATCTAGATATGATTCTGATTCTGGGGCTGAATATACATGTATGTACGTAGAACCGTGGCAGATGTGTGTACAAGACCAACTGGGAAGATGGGATGACTGAAAGAATGCATGAACAGAATGCATCGACAGAATGCATGGATATTTACTCCATACAATGGGTGAAATTTGGGGGCGGAATTTGACTTCTCATATGTTGAAGTTGTTTGTTGTTGTTCTTGTTCTTGTTGATCATATGGGGATGTTGGAGAGATGAGACAACCGCCCTCTATCAAATCAAATGTCGTGACAAACGTCTAGATTGAATGGCCCCCATCTTCAAGAATTCCCGATGTGTACGAGTAGTCACTTTTGCGAGGTCCATGCCAAAAGCAGACCTGCAGACCCAGTAAATCGGCGCACATTATTGTTTGGTGGTGGCTTTGCAGTGGGACTCTTACTTGACCCCCACCCAATCAATAACCTCCAAGACTTTCCGCATTAGGACTAACGCTGCGAGTTCCCTCCAACTCCACCCCCTCTCTCGTAAAATGGGCCTATCAGAGTGTAGGCCGAACAAAGTTCAGTTCTTTATTCTATTTTCATGATTTACGTTCTGTTTTTGTTCTATTCCTTTTTTCCTTTTTTCTTGTATTTTGGGGTGTTTTTTGGTGGCTTCCCTGCCGTTCCACAAGTGACCCGCTGGTTCAGCCCTACTCAATCGACGTATTGGCTCTTACTCGAACTGCCAGATGATGCATGGACAGCATGCCGCCCATTCTGAATCATTGTGATTCACTGGCCTATTACCATGGGCCCGTCTACCTCTCCCCGACCTGTACCGAGACCTTCTGCTCTCCCCACTTTCCTTCCCACTCCATTGCTGAATAAACAGCTGGGAGACTGCATGATCTGTTTTTTATTTTATTTTCTTCTTGATCCTTATTTACCCAACTCTGCCACCTGAGTCAATCTTGCTGCAGATCTTCTTGTTTCTAATCCAGTACGGAACGCCTGGATATCCTCGATAGCACTGCCTCGTCCAGAATTCTTTATATACATATCAAGTGGTCCGCAATTCAGGTTGTCCCTGATGCAAGCCACATACAAATCGTCCCTCGTTCCCTGGAGCTTATAAATCCCGCTCTCGTCATCTCAATTGCTCTTTACATTTCGGTCAATCTATTTCAGTAGGTTGAACATTGAACTACACCTCAAGGCTGATTGACCAATTGTGAACTTTTCGGCAAAGGGCCCTCGGCTCTCTACACCCGCCTGAAGCCCTGGAGGGTAATACTTTAAAACAGCTCTCGAATCACACTGCCAAGGGGGAAAAAAGAGAAAGTGGCTGCTATGAAAACGCAATACTCCCCCTCGAACGCTTTGCTTGATTTTGATCGGGAGACCGATCCTCTGTATATTTTTTCGGAAAAGATACCTTTTGCCAACGAGATGGTATATTCGACATCCGGCATGTCTCCTAAACGAAACGCCGGATGGGACACCAAGGATATGAGAGCCCCCGTCCCTGGCAGCTCTGGGTGCAGCTCGCTGGACCCCTCCATGGTCGGCCTTACAGGGATTCCTGTCAGCTCATCAACCGGTCATCCCCATTCGACTTGCGTCAACCCACATGCGGGCTATGCTACCGCTCACCCGGATTCTGTAACTTTCTTAGCCCCCGAAAATTATTTATCAAACCCACAAGACTCCACAAATGAGCACATGGGCTCTCTATACAGCTGGTCTAGTACGTCCAACGCAGAAGAATTAAAACCATCTTCATCCGCCGACTCTGGCGTCTGCTCTGCCTCAAACTCGCCCTTCATGCAATCCTTCTACAATTTCGGGACCGCCACGCAGCCAGCGGCGCATCCAGATATGACAGACACAAACGGCTACACCCCGCAACAGATCAATAAATGGTGCATGGAAAGTGATCCCACCGGTAGCAGCTTCTATCAACCTACAGCCTCGTACCCGGCCATCAGTCCACTTGCATTTTCACCAGCAGAGATGCCATCAAATGTTTACCCAACACTAAACCAGAATATGAGCACCGCTGCAGAACAGTGGTTCCCCATGCCGGCATTTGCCAGCCCACCATCTCCTCACAGCAATACAATTCCAATCCCAATCCCAGCACAGGATAACAGCTTCCTCTCACCATCCGCTACAGCCCTCTCACTCGACTCCTCCTCTGTCATCAGTACCTCTCCCGCCCCCACTCTCTCCGACTTCGAATCCAAGTCATCCTCGCCCCCGTTCAACCCCGCCGACCTGACACGCTACGGCATTCCAGCTGGCGATGGGGTCTGGCGCTGCGCCCACCCGGGCTGCACATCACAAGCATTGTTCCGCCGAGGGTGTGATCTGCGTAAGCACTACAATCGACACCGCAAACATCTCTTTTGTCGACATGAGGGTTGTCCTCAATCCAAGCAAGGCGGATTCTCAAGCAAGAAAGACCGTGCGCGCCATGAAGCTAAGCATAACCCCGGAATCGTCTGTGAATGGGATGGATGTGGACGCGTGTTTAGTCGGGTGGACAATATGAAAGACCATGTGAGGCGAATTCATCGACGGGCTGGAAGCCGTTGAGTCTCGATTTGAGATGATTGGATATCTCTCTGATGGTAATACGATGATTATGATGATTTTAAGGATTTTCTTTTTACTGTCTCTTGTTTCTCTTCTCTTCTCTTTTTGTGTTCTTGATCATCTCGTCATATTTGTTTTTTTTTGGGAATGTACAACTACAAACTGGATAGCAGGGTATGGTGAACAGGCGAATTTGGATTAGACTTTTGGGAAAACATACATTCTCCCAGGCCATCAGAACAGGCAGGAAAATGGGAATTGGGGTCACACAGGAACTATTTTGATTATTTTAAACTTTCAGGACACGTGGATCAATGCAAAACGAAATATGAATATGAGATACATCGAAAAAAAATGATTGGCCATATCAGAGCCAGAGTAACTCTGTACTAGTAAGTACATCTTGGAAATCCCGGCGATCATGGCGAGTCAGCCTTATCGTAACAGTCTCAGATTCATAAACGCTCCCTGCATACTAGGCGACCTGGTAAAAATAGCATCTCCCTAAAGAGCTTTTCTCTTCGCTATTCCCGCGCCGGACGCGGAATTCTAACCTGTTAGTTCCTGTATGCATGTACTCCTGGCCGGAATTCCGAGCTCAAAGTCCAATTTCGAATTCATCACAAAACAAGCATTCCCGGACACCGCCTCCCACTATTTTTAAAACAGAGTCAATGGAATGACCTGACCTGGCCTGACCTGATCTGAGCCTTGGGGTCCGAATTTCTGTGATTGTGACGAATCTGTTTCTATTGAGACAGAAAGCTAAACTTGTACAGAGTAAGAGATAAGGCAAGGCAAGGGCAGGTCGAATTCACCCCCTCCCAATCTCCACACATGACCAATACCCCAGAAGAGAACTTGAATATTGGCTCCATCATATACGCTCCGTAGTCCATTCCCTTCCTGGCATATTTCCACACCGTATGGTTTAATGCGTATGTGCATAGCGACAATGGATCGGAGGCGCTTTTACGCAGGGTTCAACCAACCAAGACCCTCCCCGCAGCGATGATCTGCGCCGAGCGTCGCCCAGTAGCGCCTGATTAAGTCAACAGTGTCGGTATGCAGTGGCTTAGTCTGAGCCTGAGCCTGAGCCTTTTTGCGGATCGGGTGAGGAGGGGTCGGGGTGGGGTGGGTTTGGTTTGGTTTGATTGGGATTTGCGTGTCGTATCCCTGTGCTTACACAGTGAAACTACAACTATGGAGTAAACTAACTCAAACTTACCATTGCTTCACTTATTCTCGGGTCGGAGATAGGTACGACCAGGCAAATGCTAGCTACCATATGGTATCCGTACTAGCTCGGCAGATCCAACGAATTGGTCTCCCGGTTTGGCTAGCACCTAGGTCTAAATTTCACACCTGTATCTAAGCTTTCTAATGACTCTTCAGTGTCTCATACCATTTTCCTCAATCAGGCAGGGGTCTTTGCGGCTTTTTGGGGGCTGGTTCAAGTGCTGCGGGGATCGGCCGTCTTTTCTTCCAGAGTTGGTAGGGGTCGGAGTACGGAGTACTAAGGTATGTGCTTACAATACGCCGTAGTTAGTCTGGTCCTATTAGGGCTAGTCTTCCGCCAACTACAGAGTACCATCTGATATTTGATTGACTAAGTCAAGTTTGGTGAAGTGGATTTCTGGAAGTGGATACAAACTGGGTCTGAACGACTTTATCTGTGGGGGCCGAAGAGCTGGCTGGTTTTTGGGCACGAGACCTCTTGACCTGCTCTTTTCGGTGTCTTGTTTTGGTACGACTAGTATGTATGTCAGTGTGCTGAACCAATATTCCTTACAATCTTGTTGGTGAGAAATTGGAAGTTGACGTTGCCTACGAATTATGGGGTACTGTTTGTCGATACGGAGTATATGAAGCAGGGAACTCCCTTGCCCTGTTGCCCTGCCCTGCCCTGCTTATGCACAATTTTGCCACTAAATCTCTCTCTCTCTCTCTCTCTCTCTCTCTCTCTCTCTCTCTCTCTCTCCCCTTTTCCTTTGTTGTACCATCCACTCGACCCCTGTGTACAACTTGAACCAGTTTCATATTGGGGCTCTGCCAGCACGTAAACCCCCCTGTTCGGGCGGCCACATGGCTTTTCACCATCTGGCCATGATCGCTGACCAGGATTCAAACATCTTAGTCATTGCTTTAATCTTCGCCTGTTTGGTTTAGCCCAGGTATCGCAAGACTTTTTTTTTCTTACTCGGTGTTACCCCGAGACAAGCAAGTAGACCGGGATAAACCTAGGCCGATCTTCTGGAGATATCTGAATGAAGTTAAGCATTACGCATTTGCATGGTTACTGTGTGGAGTTTGCTATTTAAATCGGCCAGAAAACTTTGCGATATACCCGAACTGAATAATCTTTCTTTTTATGTTATGGCGTACCATTTTTGCGGCTCCGTGCATGAGATCGACTGAATATGGTACCTAAGTGCCGGAGCGTTGACGATGATCTTTCCATCTTGCCTTGCATGATGCTACACTAGGTATGATCTCACCCTACCCTACCCTTGGGATCTACCACAGGAAAACAACCGATGAAAGTGTTTAGAAAGAGCCGTAAGTACCCCTAATCAAATAATCAAAACTCCTTGTTGGTGCTAGCCACAATTGAATAGACCAAATGATTCAAAAAAACCAGGGAAACCAACACCGGAGCCTTGGAATCAAAATCAAAATCAGAATCAGAATCAAAATAAATAAATAAATAAAGGAGACAAACGAATGGACCATTTTGGAGAAGAAACGCTGTCGAGTGGGTAATAGTGATGAGGAAGCAAAAAACAATAACAAAACGAATGGCCCGTGTATCATCATGCTTCTAACAGAGTGACATGTGGTATGGTATCATCGAAGGAACAGAGCTGGAAGAAAGGTATCACAGATGGAAATTCGTCACGCGTAACTTAGGATGGGGAGTATATGCCGTCAATGGCGGGTAGACCCACACCATGACTTGCTGCATCGTGAGTGTGTATCATATATAGATAGCACCGCTCGTTGAGGCCAAGAGAAGACATCAATGATATGATGTCTCGTGGGTTATCCCGAATTCATTCTCCGCCGTCGCCCTCGTGAACTACCTATCGGGCGCTGTGCGAGGACTTGCCGGAGGATAGGGTCGTCTTTATTTTTATCGACGTGATGAACACGGACATGTCTAAATGGTGTTAGGATGGATTGGTGATACCAGCTGGACGAGCCACTTGCCGTTGAAGATTGTCTGGGCGGGGATATTTGTGCTGTTGATCGGGGCAAAATGGACAGACGTAGCCTGGTGAGTTGTGCACCAGACCATGTCGCATCATCTCATTCTTGCGCTTGAAGCCTTTCCCGCCGAGACCACGGGGGCAGCCATCAACAGGACAAAAATGTGGCCGGTCTTGCGAGTGAACATTGGCATGGGAACTGGTGATTTTGATGTTAGATATGAAAGTTTTCCACCTCAGGTTGTAGGAGCTCACTTGAGGAGATACTGTGTCTGGAAAGGTGCTGCCGTGCAACCAGGATGTGTGCACTTGTAGCTACCCGGCACTGTGAGCCCATTGGGTGGTTGTGGTGCAGCATTAAATGCAGCTCGCTCACCAGCTGGGGGAGTTGGGGCAATTTGCTCAGTCGGTGTTGGGTAGCTCGTCGCTGGACTCTTCGCTGTCATAGGAGACATATCGTATGGAGTGGGCGCATGGTGTGGGGTCTCCGCAGGTTGTGATGGTGGAGGAGGAGGCGGAGGTGGGGGTGCTGGCAGTGGAGGTCTCCAATATGACGACGTCGCCGGCGACGGATTGTTTGATGCGTCCTTGGCACTCACGGGGGAAAAGTGTGAATATGGAGTGGGCATCTGAGATGGTGGGAAAAATTGCCTTGTCAATTGCCGATCATGAGGTGAATCATTTTGCGACGATGACGAGGGCGGGTATGAGTAAGGCGAGATGGCATTGAGTCGTGCTGGAGGGAAATCGCTCGAGGAGAGCCCGCTGAGTGCTGATTGAATAGATGGGAGCACCTGAGTGTTGCCATTACCACTGCTATTGTTAGTGCTGCCGTTGTCTGGAGATGTTGCTGCGCATGACGATGGTGGCGAGAGCGACTGGAAAGACGGGAGGGAGATGCGATTCTTCAGCTCGGGAGATTGTTTGATGTCACTGAGAGGATGGTGGTCAAGCGAGAGTTTTCGTTCTGGATTCGTGAGGGTGGAGACGCTCAGACGATGCGGACGTTGTGCCGGAGACGGGAAGTCGAGAGAGCGAGGAGTATCTACGGACGGCGCCAGCCGGGGGAATTGAGTTGGGAGTTTGTCCCGTGGTGACAGTGGTCGCTCATGGTCTTTCCTAAGCTGGTTTCCCGAGGGTTTTTCGAGAGGTTCTTCGTCCTTGAGGCTCACGGGAACGGCGGTGGTTGGCTTCGGCGGTTCGATAGGCTTGGAAACCAATCCTCCCGGTCCATCCAATGGCTTCTTATCGACTGGGCTCCGGTTCTTCCTGAAACAGTCCGTCAAGGAGTTGTCGCGCTCATAGGCCGCGATATCGGGACGGCCTGGAGCTAGAAAGTTGATCAGCACCGAGTCGCCGAAACGGGTGTGTGTCTGGGTTTCCGGCTGGTGCGGCTTACGGGAACGTTCTGGCGTTCCCTTGTCGCCTTTATCGGTGACATCGTCGGACGGAGGGACGAATGGGGGCCGGGCATCGTCGGGCTCATACTTGGGACACACCGCCACTGGTGGAGGCGACCGGTTCATGGCATCGTCCGAATCGTAGAGGTCGGTCATGAAGGCAGGACCGGGCGCATACGGCGCCTATATGGGAGGGGATGTTGTGTCGACACAGGTGGACTTGAAGCTCGATCGCACAGCATAGCACGATGTTCGACGGGAGGACCTCGTGTCGTCGCGGCAGAGGCTCTGCGGGTGGGAGGTTCGGTTAGCGCTGAAGCTGTGAACTACTCGTGTGTTTGTCGCCTTGCTACCTCAGGCTCTGTAGTTCCCATGGCCCAGGCATCGACCTCTAGTTAAGACGATAGGAATCCGGAAGAGCTCAAGTATCAAGTAGGGTAGTGGTCGAGAGGGTGGGTGAGGGGGTGAGGAGTAAGATTGGTAGGTCAAGGTCACAAGCCTTAATTGAGCGGGAAAACGGGGACTGTGACCTCTGGGGAGCCGCTAACTTACCAAGGGGGAGGTACCACGCCGGGAGAAGATCGAGTCAAGAACAAATAACAAGGTCGGGAGGGGGGGTGGGATGAGGCTCAACGGATATTCCACGCCATTCCCTCGAATGATATCGAGGGAAAAGAGGGTTGAGGTTCTCTCAACTTTTAGGGGGGGGAAGAGAGAGGAGGGGAAGTTCTGAGCTAAGCGCGGCTCCAACAACACAGTGTGGATGATCAAATGAGACCAAAAAGAGTAAGAGTTAAGAAGTCAAAAAGTAGAAGGAGGATAAATAATACAATAAAAAAAGACGATCAAAAAACCCAGGAAAAATACGAGCAATGTCGAATAGAAAAAAAGAAGGAAAAGAGAAAAGTAAAAGTGTGTTGATGAGGCTCTGGGAAAAGGAGTGGGCCTTTTGGATCCCGAGGCTCCAAAGCAGGAAGTGAATTCCCCGCAAGCAAGTCTGCTGACTGAGTAAAGAGTAATGAGTATACTCTGCACTACTACACAGACTACTCTAATTTTCAATCCTCTCTCTCTCACTCACACATACACACACACACACTCTCTCTCTCTCTCTCTCTCTCTCTCTCTCCCCCTCGGAGGATTAGGGGTGGCACAGTCCAGCACTCCAAGGCTCCACCGTTAAATTAATTCTCTCCGGAGTCATCAACCGGGGGGTTGTCGTTTCGACGAGTAGCAGCGTCCCCGCTCCACCGGGGCTTAAACCCAGGAAGGGAACCTGCACGACTCACTCCACTCGGTGGATTGCTTGCCCCCCCGTGGTCATCCTGGACCAATGCCTGTTCCTTCGCCTAGCCTCGTTCGTTGGAAGGATTGACAACGCAACAGCTGCCTTTTGTTTCAAGAGCAGGCCATGACGGGCCACTCCGATATCGAGGGAGGGAAGAGAGAGGGGGGGGAGTTACATATTTACTCATACGGCCGGAGGGAGAGAATGGAGAGGCTGAGACAGACTCACCGCGGTGGGTGGGGACATCCTGAGCCCCCCATGGACAACTCCCTCGGGATTTCGCAACTCATCTGCCTTCCCACAAAAAGGAAGAAGAAAAAAAGTGGAAAAGGGGGGGTGTGGGTTTCTGTTTCTTCACCCCCTCCTCCCTCAGCCTCACTTGACGTGGTAGAGCCGCAGGGCAGCCTCATCCCCCGCTGCAGAAACCAATCACACCGCATTTCTCCCCCCCCTGGCAAAAGCAAATATGCATGATCTTCTGGTCCCGTCACCTCTCGCAACTTCCTTGGCCCTTGGCTCTTAGCCCCAACCCAACTCAACCCCCCCCCTCTCATCTGTGCATCTGCGTCAGAAACTCTCTTCACGAGGGAAGATCGCGCATCCACCCCATCAGCATCAGCGGGCACATCAGCAAGCCTTCATTCCCATTCTTTGACCCTCTCAGATGCTCTCGTTTTCGAACTAGAAGGGTTCGCTGCATGGTGGCGCCGCATTGACGTGGTAATGTGGGTGCCGCAACACAATTCGGGAGACGTGGACCAAATAGGGCCAAGTGCTGACACCCCATTCACACTAGCGTATCTATTCTCGACAATATCTTGCCGTGAGAGTGAGACGGTGTACGTACGTAAGTCCGAGTGTTTTAATCAATTGTATTGTGGGCCCCATTTGCCTCGGGTCGGCGAAGGAAGGCGGGAACTATGGACAAGCGCGGCCCACACCTCGCAGAACTAGACTGAAGTAGAGAGTACATACTCTGTACATAGTAGTTACTTTGCACAGGTAGAGTAAAGAGTGCGAACACTCTGTAGAGAACTAGTTCATGTATGTGCTCAACTACTTAAGTACATAGTTACACCTACACTGTACCAGTCGGGAGTTTGTACTGTATACTCCATACGGATATAAGGACATAATAAGTACTAGTACTAGTACTTATAAGAGTAACATAGTTACATCTCTGTATCATGCTATGTACATATGCAGCAAAATGCAGGATTGATCTACATATTACAACTTACCCTTCTGTTGCACCTGTTGCACGCGGTGCCAGGCGCTAAGAGCAAACGGCTTGGCCCGACTCCCGTAATCGCTCGCCCTCGCACTGCTAGCCTGTCGCGCCGCGAACCGGGCCGCAATGCCCTGCATGATGACGGAGCCTCGGAAAGCAAAAAATGCATCTCCCCAAACAATATCGCCCACAGGATCGTATCCAGACACCTCATGGTACCAACGCATGCATTCCTCACGCGATGGCAGACCCGGCGTCCGCCCGGGCTGGAACGACTCCGTCGATGAATCCGCCCCTTCTCAGGATATACGGGCTGGTGACATTGCAAAAGTCCGACAGCGGGTGCCCGACGGTCGCCATTTCCCAGTCAAGGATGCCAATTACTCGCGGCTCCGTGTGGTGGAAGATCAGATTGTCGATCTTGTAGTCGCCGTGGACCAGGGTGCCTCGATCCCGCGGTTGGGACGACTTCTCCGAGAAGAAGCGCACCATGTCTTCGAAGTGTGGCAGTTCTCCGACCGGCTCCTTGCTATCCACATCGAGGACCTGGGCCTGAGCCCGTGAGATTGTTGTGAAGGTTGCGATTTGTCGGTCATAAAAGCCCGAGGGCTTACCGAATTTCTCGAGACCAATTGATTTGGGCACAACCCGGTGGAATTTGGCTAGCGTTTGAATGGCGGATTTCCATCTAAATCGTCACCGGTGAGTTATCTTCCACCAACGACTGAATTCAATCACAGCTTGCAGGTAGCGAAATACGTACAGTGCTTTTCGTTCCTCGCCACTAACCCCAGCATAGCTGGGTCGGTGAAGTGTCGGCCGTCCAGGAACGACATGATGTAGAATGGGGTGCCAATCACATCGTTGTCTTCGCAAAGACAGAGCGCATCGGGAACGGGTACATCGGTATCGCCCAAGCTCCGGATAATCTTATACTCGCGCTCGACTTTGTGTGCTGTCTTCGACAGCAGCTTGCCGGGGGGGCTTCTTCCGCAGGACAAACTTCTTGCCGTCGGCGGTGGTCAGCTGGTAGGTTGGGTTGGATTGGCCGAATCCGAACTAGGGTGGTTGGTCTTAGTATCTGCAAGGTTGTGATAGGGCTCGGGGTCACGCACCTGCTTCACATCTAATGGGGTCTTCAAAGCTGGCACATTCTGGTCAATATACCGCTCCAGTGACGGAATGTCAATGGGCTGTCGCACTTCTCCTGCCATGATGGAGAAGTAGACTGATGGATGATGTGAAAGAGGGACCAGGTAATAGTAGGAGGTCGGTTGAAAGAGGAGATCAAAGAGCGTTCATGGATATATACAGATCTCAGGTGTGAAGCAATCTGGGGACAGCCGGGGTACCTCGGCTCAGCCGCCCTCGGTCGGCGAGCGGGGAGCAGATTCCTTAGTCAGCGAGATCTGTGTAACAGAGTTGACGGAATTGACAAGAAGATCTTTGTCAATGCTTCAAGTTTGCAGTTACATTGATTGAATAGTTTTACTTTGCAGATGAAGTATTTACATGGAATAAAGCAGTTCCGAGTCCCTGTCGGTTTACTTGTAGTAGCATCATGTCATGATATAGTCATAACTATAGAGAGTATACTAGTATGGTTATACCCTGCAGGTAGGTTTGGCGTTCAGACATTTACTAACTAACAGTATGGCCTCACATAATTAACGCCTAGATCAATCACTGAGTGTATTTTTGAGTAAACGACCGCCAGACAATATCTTAATATTGCAGCTTCCTTTAATGATCCCAGATCCCACCCGCCCACCCATCCATCCCCACTGGCACCCACTCACGCGTCCCGGCGGCGGTGAAAGATGAACGCGTCCCAGCGGTGAAACACGCGCAAGGGACCTCCGGACACACCGCACTTCTCTCTCGTGGATGAAAGACGAACTCAGTTCCACAGTCTACACCTTCTCACCTCCTCTTCCACCCTCTCATTATCGCCAACAACTCCAGTCAGAATTGCCATGACCAAAGAGACCACCCCACCCACCTCGTCATCCAATTCCAATTCCATCCCCGCCACCCGTGAACCACCTTCCCTCCCAACCTCCCCGCTTGCGAAACGCACCAAGACCAACGACACAATGACCGCCTCCAATGCCCCCGCCGTTACCTCTATCCAGCAACAGCTGCCTCCTCTCCTGGTGAAGAAGCTCGTTGACTCTGCCCGCGCCCCGACGCGGGGCTCCGCCTTTGCTGCGGGGTACGATGTCTACGCTGCTAAAGAGACTGTTATTCCCTCCAAGGGCAAGGCTATGGTTGATACTGGTATTGCGATTGCTGTGCCTGAGGGTACCTGTATGTGAATCTGTTGAATTGTCAATCGGCACTTAGTTGGCATTGTTTCAGGATTAGGCTAATGCGTGTATGTTTGTTTGTGGACAGATGGTCGCATTGCCCCCCCGCTCTGGCCTTGCTTCGAAACACTTCATTGATACCGGTGCCGGTGTCATTGATGCGGACTACCGTGGTGAGGTGAAGGTTCTTCTGTTCAACCACTCCGACGTCGACTTTCCCGGTATGTGAAAGAAAAAACTGGGAACCTTTGCCCGGTTGCTGGAATGGGACTTCATACTGATGTGTTGGATTTAGTCAAGGAGGGTGATCGCGTTGCCCAGCTGGTTCTGGAGAAGGTAAGTTTGTCCCATTGCGATGCAAATTCTTCTCGTCTTTGAGGTTGGGTCTAATGATAACTTGCAGATCTACACCCCCGAGGTTGCCGTCGTCGAGGAGTTGGAGGAGAGTGTCCGTGGTGCTGGTGGATTCGGTAGCACTGGCGTTTAGAGTCTGGGATTGAGAGAGCAAGACGAAAAAAAGGGACTGGATTGGGCGGACGATTTATCGGAGTATATCTAGATTCAAGGAATACCCGGAAGAATTTAATGAATTTATGCGTCGAGAACGACTCATCAAACGTGATCAATTATCAACAATCGCTGTTCTATACTTGAAATCTATCTGTAGAAATCCCCAATGTCAATGCCCCGAGTCTTTCTCCTTATAAATGATCATGATCTTTAATTCCAGCCCGTCCCAGCCATCGTCCAATGTATCACCAAGGCCGGAATGGGATATCTTATTGTAATCCGACAGGAAGATCTTCTTTACGCCATTCCTGCGCCTCAAACTGTACAAGCGGGTCACGCAAGAACTGCACATTTCGCACCAAACGCACCTCAGCAGCCTTCGTCCGGCGCAAATAATCTTGTTTCTGCTGTTCCTCCGCACTCAATCCCTCACTTTGGCTCTTCTCTAGCGCAATCTTCGCGAGCTCGGCATTGCGGGCTTCCATCGTTCGCTCAAGGACACTGTGCATACTGGAAAGGACCTTGAGCGTCGCTTGCGCCAGTGGTAAAGTCGTTGCCGAAACGCTGTCGGGAGAAACCCATGACGCGGTTGACTGGAGACCATCACCGGCTGCTGCAACCGCCTCGCGAAGACGGGCGACCATCAATGCGGCGAACATGTCGCCGGTGCCGCTGAAGAAGCAGTCTAAAGCGGGTACGTCGACGCGGAATAGACGCGGGGACCCGTTGCTTTGGGTTGTAGAGCCGATGACGGTTAGGAAGTTCTCTGGAGGGGTGGGGGTACAGCCTGATTGGGAGAGTTTGGATAGCTGTACAGAGGTTATGATGACATGTGGGACGGAGTAGATGCGGTGAATTGCGGTGATGGCCTCGGCCAGAGTGGCGAGAGAGGTGATCTCGATGCCCGAGAGAACCCTGGGGAGATTCAATTAGAGATATGGGGTTCCCCCACGAGTTGATGGGACAACTCACTCGGCTTCGAATTGATTTGGCAGAATCAGGTCTGCATGTTTGATGACTTCCTTGTAGGCCGGGACGACGTCGTCATTTACATATAATCGTCCCTGGTCACCCATTACCGGGTCCAAGACTAGATCAAAAGATCAGCGTCGGCCATAAGGAAGACATGGGGAAGTCACTTACCCCAGAAAAACGAGCCAGGCTTCTCGGACTTCTTCTTCAAGTCCATTCCAATAGCGCCAACTGCTTCGACGGCCGCGGCGCTGGGGGCATAACCAGACAGCATGACGTCAAAATCCGTGAGATTGCTTTGGCATAGACCCTGATACAAGTCCGTAATCTCCTGGGCAGATGCGCGAGTTCCCTTGAATTGCCGGTAGCCAGTATGGTTACCTATCTGAATCAGTCCGTTGCTCGGTTGAAATAGATTGGCGGGGTTTGGTCTCGTGCGGCGTGGATGGGATGCACCTTGGCCGAGAAACACGATAAGACTTACTAAAATGAACGGTGTTCAAGGCGGCAACATCACAGCCGAGGGATTGCATGGCAAATGATGCCATTGAATTGCCCACATGGCTATGGGCTGTCAGCTGGAGACTCGGACGTCACAGGGCGATGACTCCACACCGAGCGGACGCGGAGTTCAGAGTTCACGTACCCATATACAACCTGGGGAGAGGGGTCAGTGTATTCCCTTTAGATAATAGAGTGGTTGGGACATACCTGGCTTGCTACAGCCAGTACTCGCGTTTCTGGCACGAGGGAATTGGACATGGTGGTGGTGAAGGATGATAGAGGCGAGTGTGGGGGAAGATTGGAAGATTAGAAGTGGCCGAATTCTCCCTTACCTAATTGGCTCGCCCGCGGGAAACACTGCAACTTAGGTTGAACACAATCGTGTTTAATGTTAATATACCAATATATTATGTATAAATATATAAATATATAAATATCGCCGATCGATTCTGCTCAATAAGATCATACTAGTACAATTATCATTCTTGAGTTCTATGCTAATCAGCACCCAATGTGGGGTTGTTGGCCACTATATTTGAAGTCAGTACTACGTTAGTAGTATTTACGGAGTGAGGGCTCTGTAGTACAAGTCTACCGAGTAGTATGTAGTAGATAATTTTAAAATCCATGCTGCATAGTAGATCAGAAAATATCACTCTGATACCTATACCACATACGAAATGACCAGGACAATCTTACGTTGAATTACTTCCGGACAAGTTTCCAAAGTGGCCCTTGCAGCGAAGTGCACACGGTCCCGACGGTGCCCCGAGTTCGATTTCTTTCAGGCATACTCCGTACTCGTACTCCGTACCCTACTCCGTCCTCCGTCCCTCCATTAGTGAGCTCCCGGTTGCCTTTTTTGGTCCTGAGGGAGAGATCGACAAGGTTTCAAGCTCAAGTTCCTGCACCATGCCCGGCCACCATCGGTCTCCTCAGTCTCCAGAGATCGTCATCAATCTCTCTCTTTCCCCCCCAAAGCAAAAAGCAAGACAGTATGGATAGGATCGTCATGCTGGGAACCCCAAGCTTGGCCCCTGCACGATGCAGGCCCGTACAGGCCCCCCCTGAACCATCACCCAAAAGTGGTGCGCGTCTCCACCGAACGATCTAGTCCTCCGCCGATGCTGTTTCGGGGCCTAGCGTTGTGCCCGGCCTGGTCTTTTCGGCCTTGGCTGCTCTACTCGTACTCATTATGTGTTGCCAACTAAAATCCTTCGGCTGCTAGCTCCGTACATTCCCTGTCTTATACGCGGGTGTTCCCCTCGTGGTCCTGCCAGGCACCCCGTCAGCTCTGTCGTCTGCATCTCCATCTCCATCTCCGTCTCCTCTACGGATGACTTGTTGATTGACAAGCTGTGTACCATGTCGACTGCATAACCTCTTGTGTACGCGTTTTTCACTCTTTTAGCCCTACGCGGCCACCGTCATTCGTTTACTTTCTCGCCATGGAGACCATTTCTCGCCTTTCGAGCGACAATGGCTCCCCAAAAGCCACTCATTCTTTTGCATGCGATTCCCGTCCTGCTTCTTTCTCTCAACGCCGCTGGTCGCGTCTCGGCCAGTTTCGACTTTCTCAAGTCTGGAGGCCCTTTTACACCGGCCTGTTAATTCTAATTGTTATTCTTTGCCTGTCACCCACCGCCGCGGCGCAATCACAATCTGCATCTGCATTGGAGCTAAACGCGGATATCCCGCGATCGGATTCTCACGCAAGTGGAGAGATCTTCGTGGACGGTCTCCACGGAAGATCTTCATCGCTCCAGCCTCGTGGAGGTGAAGGGGATGGAAGTGAGAACAATAATATCGGAAAGCGCTCCAGTGATCGGCTTCTACCCCGGAAAATCGTCACTGCCAATTCCAACTCGTCCTCGTCCATGCCGACTCCATTCGATACGATATCATATAACTTTGCGAATCAGACCTGTACTACATTCTTCACCGACTTTCTCGCCAACTCGACCATTACAGACTGCCATGCTATCTCACTACTCCTCGAGAACTCCAATTCTTTCTTCCACACCTTGAGTTCCGCCGTGGCTACCTCGCGCGTCCTCGATGTTACTTGCTCCCAGTCGGTCACGAAATGCGCTTCCATTATGACCAACCTGGCTAGCGAGATGATTAAAACTGAGAACTGTGGGGATGACTACAGCGCGGGAAACTCGGTCGTGCAGGGCACCTACCAAGACTTGATGGCATATGAGCCTGTCTATCGAGCGACTTGCTTGACAAACCCCGACACGAAAGACTATTGCTTCGTGGACGCGGTGCAGAATACGACAGCACCAAACGACTACAATGTCTACTTCATACCGGTTGGTACGCCGCTCACCAAATCGGGGGTTCTGACTTGCAACGAGTGCCTGCAAGCCAGCATGGATATTTTTGCCCAGTGGGCAAAGGTCAACAACCAGGCTCTGGACACCACCTATGTTCCATCTGCAAAAGTTGTCAACAAATATTGCGGGGCCAACTTTGCCAACACCAATATCACAGTCGGCTCTAATAGAGTCACAGCTGGTGCTGGGCTGAGTGTACAACTACCTGGGGCTCGACTCACATTCGCCTATCTGGGACTATTCCTCGGACTCGGCTATATGGGAATGCTCTAAGCTGAGATTGTACTTGAGATTGCATCCTTGGCATACTCTATTTTTTCTGTATATCACCAGAGACGAGGCTCTTCTCGGTTGCCCTTCTCCGACCTTCCTTGAGAATCCTGCCATGTGCCACGACAGCGAAGCGCTTGCTTTTCTATTCCACCTACGTCCATATTTTACATTCCATGTCTATTAATTAATCAAATCTACATATTACCTATGCCATCTTTGCTGCAAGTTATAAAGAAAAAGATCGTCACCATCTAGAAATGATGCATCACGGCAGTTCTAAAAATAGTAAGCCGCGAACCCCTCTACAAACCCTTTTTTTGATCACTTCTTGATCACACCAAATGTCAGTTCTTCAAGGTTTGCATCAAAGCAACCGCTAGACCCTTTTATTTCAAGATCTTCCCCACCAAAGCGTTAAGCATGGTTACACAGCCTCAACTACCATCACATCCACTACGGCAGTGACTGCAGCGCCCCAGGGGCGGGGCGCCAGCCTCATCAGGGGCCACTTAAAGAACCCTGCACCATTTCCGCCCCCAAACAAACGGGTTGCGGAATCGCAGCAGTCATTCTCTTTAAATTGGAGTGGTTGCCTTAACGCAGCGTCGCCCACAATTACTTGGTGCTTATTTTTTTTGGCATGTCTCACTCACTCTCACCATGTTAATTTCACCCCAAACTTCCGCAGTGCCGTCGTCGCATCATCTAGCAACTATCCGACCGCTGGTCGGTTCTCTTTACGACTCCACGCGCCAATCAACCGCTCTAATCAACCAAACCCACAATGAGCTCGGCTTGCTTCTTGCAGTGCTGTCCGCTACCGAAGCGCGTTCTTCGCTGCTCTATGTGGATCGTTCGCCCCCGGCTCTGGACCGGAAACTGGAATGCTGCCATGCGATTCTGTTGGATATTGAAAAGTTGCAGAATAGACCGGCGGAGATAGGTCTGCAAGGTCGTATTACGGACATTCGAGCTCGGATCTCGTCTTTGGTATTTGAACTCAATGTGTTGAATGCCGATATGATGATGTTTGTGCTCTTCTTGGTGTTTGTTTGGAATCTCCATTGGTATTAACTGATTCTCTAGATGCTCGCAGAATAAAGTCAATCGGTTTCTAGGCGCCTTTATTGACGATGTGCGTGAGGGGAAACGAGAGTCCTCAGTCATCACGGATGCCCTGGATGATGATGCTTCTCCGGCTCCGGGAAAAGGACAAGCATGGGTCAATCTTCAGCAGGAGCTGCTTGATGTGGGGATTGCTCCTGATCTATCTTTTCAAGATCACGATTTTATCATTTCGACTCTTCGTCGGGAAGTTGAGGAGAAGGAACTATTGAAGAATATCAAGTCGAAACCAGCACAAGGAATCGTTGAGCCTCCAGCGATCATAATCTCTTCGCCTGAGTCTCCAGTTGAAACCCAAATCCAAAGAGAGAGTTCCAAGTCACCACCATCAGAGATTGTTGAACCCCCAACGATTATCGTCTCATCGCCTGGATCTTCAGTTGCAAACCAAGTTAAGAGAGAGAGCTTTCCCTCACTACCGCCTCGGCCTCAAGATCCAGGACTTTCTGCACTTTCTGAAAAGGAAGTAGTTATCACTAAATATTTGCCAACCTCTGTATCCCCGGATCAGGGTCAAAAGAAAGCAAAGAATGAATATTCACCACCACTACCGCCTCGACCTCGAGACTCGGGACTCTCTGCACTTTTCGACAAGGAGGTCGTTTTCACAAAGTATTCGCCAAACTCCGCCCCAGCACATCTACGAGGGGCAAGCGATACAGAGAAACAAGTGCTACCAACAGACAACTACCCAATCCCTGTTTTGACAGAGGCATTCTTCAACGCGGCAGGCGACTCCGATAAACAGGCTCTCCCACGAGACAATTACCCGATCCCGATGCCTACAGAATATTTCGCAGCCAGCAACTTCAACAAGCAAGTTGTTTCGCGAGAAAGTATATCGATGCATACAGGTACCAATTCCAGCTCTCATGGTAGCTCGTGTGGGGATGGAAACAGCAACAGCAACAGCAATCATTCTCGCTCATCTTTAGCCCGGGCCCCGGGCAAGAAGCCTAGCATCATGCACAAAATGAAGTACAGGTTAACAAACAGCAAAGAAAGCTTGATCTCTTCAATCCAGCTGAACAGAGTCGACTCCGTGAAGAAAGCATTGGATAAAGGCGCCAACGCAGATACTATGAATCAAGACGAACAAACCGCCTTGATGGTAGCATGTTCCTACGGCCACGAAGAAATCGTAAAGATACTCCTGCACTACGGTGCGAACGCAGACAAATCCTCTGAGAAAGGAGAAACTGCTTTAGGCGTTGCAGCCGGACGCGGACAAGAGAGCATTGTCCGCGTCCTACTAGCCCACGGAGCCAGCGTGAATTCCGACGGGAGGGCGAAACCAGGACTATGCGAGGCAGCGGCGTCCGGGTATGAAAGTATCGTGCAGTTGATGCTGGACTACGGGGCTGATCCTAATGCGATGCGTGGACTTGGCTTGACGGCGCTTTCTCAGGCTGCATCGAATGGTCATGTCAATGTTTGTCGTTTGTTGTTGGATAATGGGGCCCTGGTCGATCACCCACGTTCTATTATTCACAGGTCGCCGCTTGCGAGGGCTGTTGAGTTCGGTAAGGCGGATGTTGTTAGGCTTTTGATGGAGCGGAGGGCGGATCCGCTTCGCAAGGACGTTGGTGGAAAGACGATTGTGTCTCTTGCGATTACGAGCGGCAAGGCTGGTATTATTGAGATATTCCGCCGGTATGGGTATCAGTGTGAGAGAACTACGGTTCAATATTACTAGAACTGCATTTGAGTGATCATCCACTTCCAAAGAAATCGGGAAATGGTATTTATAAATTCATTTAAAACTATTAATATTTCATTATCAGAGATGGAATACAATTAGGCTAGTTAGTAACATCGTTATGCTCTGCCAAAAACGCAGCAGCAAATATATCCATATCTTGCACAAACCCATTCAATCTCTTCGGCTTCCATCCAAGTAACTGCTGCGCTCGAGCAGAAGACCCTCTAAAACTGGTACTCATGGCCTTAGAAAACAAATCCCCACCATGGCCCTTCAGCACAACCTCGCCTCCAAACCCCCAACATCTCGCCAAGGCGTCAAATATTTCCCGCATGCCCTCTTGGCTAGTGACAAGGTCGAAGACAGGATACACTCCCGTTCCAGCAAACAAATGCACCTTCTCAACAGCCTTGACAAAAGCAGCCGCAGCATCGTCAACATGAATAAGACCAGGCCGAGAGTGAGCATCCAGCGGGATCTCAAGCGGAGAAAAATCGTCGCTTCCGTCCTGAACAGCGCGATACACCGGCATGATATATGAAGACCAAATAGTACTTTCCCGCCCGTAGAGTAGAGCTGGTCGTAATATCATCACGTCCAGTACATCATTCACACCCAAGACGGCATTTTCCATACCAACGCGCCACTCAACCAGTTCCTCCGGTGGTGTGTTTCCACCCGAACCAACAATATCAAGATCATTGACCCCAGGCTGTCCACTCGAAGATCCATGCACCCAGGTCCCGGAGCAGTATATAAAGCCAAGTTTAGGACCTTTCACTCCTCGGCGCTTATCATTTGCCAAGCGTTCCGCTCCGATATGAGCTACATCGTTTAGGAAATTGTGGGATCCATGGTCGGCTCCGGCAACGTCGATGACCACGTCTATATGCTTTGACTCGATGGCTGAGATGTATGGCCCCGGTTCATTGACTGGGTCTGGACAGAGGATCGGGGTGATCTCTTGTTTGGATAGTTGGATTGCTTTGGCAGGAGTTCGAGCTATGCCGAAGACGGTGTTTTGGCCTTGTTGGACGAGGAGGTTGGCGATTTGGCAGCCTAGGTAGCCGGTGGCTCCGAGGATGAGGACTTTTGGCATTGTGAGGGGGAGAGGTTGCTTTGAACGTAACGTACTATAGCACTTAGGCACTAGTTAAGAGCGAATTTCTTTGTTGATGGGGGAATTCCAAAGTTGATTAGTGCCTAGGTAGGTATCAGTAGTATTATGCTGTGACTACTGTCGAGGGCTCTGCGGGGAATTTATATACGAGGCCCTTTTTTTACCTAGACAGCTGACCTATGTTTTCCCGCCGATACGTACTAAGTCCGGTTCGAAGATGATAGCTGGGAAGAGTGGAAATTGTAAACTCCGGGATTGATGGGCTTCTTCCGCTTAAGTATCCGGTCTCTTCAGTCTCTATGGTTTCCACGGGTATAACTTGGGGGAAGCTGGTCTGGGGCCGTGTAAATCCGTTCCTAAGTCCGGAAGCCTGGTCTTGACGCGTAGTCCCCCTCTGGCATCTCGAACGTGAAGCAATGGTAATAAATTAAATCTCCTTGTGTTTTCTAGCCTGTCTGGAGGGAAGAGAGCAGTCAATGGGTGGTTCAGGCTGTTGGTTCATGGATGCCTGTTGGCGGGGTGTCCATGCATGCGGGGTTCCCAAAGGCCCCTCCAGTCGTGCTCGGGGGATTATGGAGTTACACCCCAGTACTACAGGTACCTGGAAGAGAGGAGTATAGTAGCAGTAGTAGCAGCAGCAGCAGCAGCAGTAGTAGTAGTAGTAGTAGTAGTAGTAGTAGTAGTAGTAGTAGTAGTAGTACCTACCATATTGTATTCCGCCAGGGATATGCAAGTCAAAATAGACAACATAGTACAATTGCTATAGCTAGTCGTGATAGTTATACACCTACTACTAGTGGTTTATCTACCACTTAACACTTAACCCAGCCCAGTTCTAGAACCACACTCCCTCCACTCTGGAACTACCTCGGGTCAATGCCAATGGCTACCCACATTGGGTGTTCTCGGCCAACATTCCTGGCTGAGCCATGACATCACGAGGGGCTACGCAATATTAAAACAAAAAAGTCAAAGTCAGAAACGAGCTAGGATGAGGATGAGGAGGAGGTATGACTTGACTAAGGACTTCCAAGGAAACCACCGGCGCGCAGGAGTCCGTGCCTTCCCTGAATAGACAAAGGCAATGGCAGAGTGGGTGGCGGAAGGCGCGAGAACTGGAGTGGGGCAAGCACTACCCTCTCTCTGTCTGTGGTCTCTGGTGTCTCTCTGTCTGCCCCTCCAAAGCTCGCAGGTGCAAAGGACTCCCCTCCCCGCCTTCCGCCTTCCCCCCCTCCACCCCACCTGGCTCGGATTTTCCTCTCCTTCTTCCTCTTCCTCCTCTCCTTCTTATCCAAAAGTATCATCACTTCACATCGTCCATCATGTCTTCTACCGCTTTCTTCGTTATTGAGTACGGCAAGCCCGGTGCCAGTGAGTCTTTCTCTACCTTTACCTTCCCCCCCTCCCCCCTCTATTTTTACCCCTCCATCCCCTCTCTCCCTCCGAGTCTGCATGCGCGTCTTATGGGATTTATCTCCAATGAGCCTCAAACCCCCTGCCCCTATCCTTTCAATCCATCGATAATGCCACTCAAGAATCCCATGACTCAATTCGGCTAACCGCTGTTTTCCTTCTACCCAGCCACCCAGGGCCGTGTGGACTTCAAGCTCTACGACGACGTTGTTCCCAAGACCGCCAAGAACTTCGCTGAGCTCTGCAAGAAGCCCGTCGGTGAGGGTTACAAGGGCTCGAAGTTCCACCGTGTCATCCCCCAGTTCATGCTCCAGGGTGGTGACTTCACCCGCGGCAACGTAAGTGGCCTCTCCAACCCACCCCCACCTTCATCTCCTTCCCGCTCTGTGAAGAACAACGCAATGGCTGACCAGCTTCTCTCTAACAGGGTACCGGTGGCCGCTCCATCTATGGCGAGAAGTTCGCCGATGAGAACTTCCAGAAGACCCACACCAAGCCCGGTCTGCTCTCCATGGCCAACGCTGGCCCCAACACGTACGTCTCCATCAATTCTAACAACCACCCTTGAGCTTGGCCATATACTGACTAACCTCTTCTTCAACAGCAACGGCTCCCAGTTCTTCATCACCACTGTGAAGACCAGCTGGTTGGATGGCAAGCACGTCGTCTTCGGCGAGGTCACCTCCGGCTACGAGCACGTTCAGGCCATCGAGAAGCTCGGCTCTGGCTCCGGTGCCGTCAACGGCACTGTCCAGATCGTCGACTCTGGCTCCGCCTAAATGTTTCCAGTCTCGAAAATGTGATCTTGCCGTCGATTTCCTCGCCGCGTTAATCTGCTGGCGGGGGGGTTTTCGATCCGTGCTTCTGACTTAAATATCTCAATCTCAATTTTCTTTTTGCGGCTTCCTGTGGAAGGCTGCTACTCTAAGAATTACTCTATCATAATACTGTGTAGAATGCTGTCTGTAATGTGTAGATATACTAGCGTTTGCCATTGGCATTGCGAATTGGTACTAGTACTATTGCTATTCTTACACTGGGGAAATGGTACTAGTAGACCTCGCCGCCGAAAAGTCCGGCCTGGCAGAAAGACATTTTGATTTGAATTCGTTAAAATGCCACACTTGTAGAAACACGATCCAGTATGTTCATAGCAAAGGTTAAAAAATAAAAGGGCACAAGGCACAAGGCACAATATGCAATGGCGTACATAGCAAAGTATAGACAGGCAAAGATGCAATCACAAATGTTGGAAGATCATGACCAGCAGAAACATAGGCTCTTGTCATTCGTCGCGTCGAATCGAATTTGAACAAAGAAAGAGAAAGCAGAAATATGCGCGCACGCAAGAGGAATCAAAGCAATTGGCAAGTCAGACGCTTTGGTCGCAAAGAAAAAAAGCAAAAAAAGATCCACGCTATTCAACTCCACTCAGTTCAGCTCAGCTCTTCCGTGAGGAAGAACCATCTCCGAGCGCAACGCCGACTAGACTTTGCGGCTCGCCGCCGAAACTGGCACCGGGATTGGTCAAAGTGGGCGAGCCAACGCCCGAGGTGGGGCTTTGGGCCACGTCTCGGTCCCGTTTGACTCGGAAATATGCCAATTTGGTGAACCGGCTTAGATGGGTCCAGAAATGGCGTCCGGCTGGGTGAATTGCGATGCGGTCGAGGATTTCTACCGTTGCTTCGCGGACGACTTGGTCCGGGTGGAAAAGGCCCATGCTGAGGTAGAATAGCCCCGCTTGGTTCTCCGGCGCAACTACCAGCAGCTGACAGATGCCGGCGTAGTCCCTGACTACATGAGATAGTGCGAGGTAAATGGCGGCTGAGTCGGCGTGGGATAGCTTGAGAGATCGCAGGCGGTCATGGTGGTGGAAAAGATCTGGCCGTTGGATAGGTCGGACGGCGGAGTACATGCTTGCAATGTCTTGGATGTAGGAGTAGTAGGATCGGGTGTTGCGCCAGCCTTCAATTCTCGATACCGAGGCTGAGAGTTCGCGCTGCTTGGCCGTTTCGTCAGACCAGACATATCCATGGCCTCGGAGGGATGATGGGTCTGCTGGATCTGTTTGTTGGCCGGTAGGACTGTCGGGAGATAGTTCCTCTCCGGGGCCAATGATGTATAGGTTCGAGGCACCGTAGACAGCTTCTTCAAAGGCTGCAGCTACCCGAGTAAATTTCGTGATATAGGCTCGCCACTTCGCACGGATCGCATTCTCGCCATGTCGATTGCTGATACTGCGGAGGATGTCCTCGATAAACAGGTTATCTCCAGTAGGGTCCGAGTTGGCATTTGAATTGTGGTTCGGCAAGAGTGCGTTCTGCTGCTGGAAGAATAATAGTCCCTCTGTCACTGGTGCAGACTCGACATGACTCGAGATCTTCATACGGCCTGTCGGAAGGTCGCACATGACATCCCACCACTCTGGATGATTGGCAAAAGTGGGGTTTGTTACACCGGCAATGAAGCCGGGTACTTTGAGGAGGTCGTCGATTTTGGATAAATCAGTATAGGGGAATGCGTGTCTAGTAAATCCACGAAGGATTCCACCAGATGCAAGTGCGCAGGCTGCGAGGACCGCCTCGGCCACTTCGCCCGAGGGCCTGTTGTGGCCCAGGAAGATAACACGTTTTTGAGTGAGAATAGCATTGACGAGAACAATGATGGGATGTGTAAATGGGCCGCTGGTGGTTAGATGAGGGTGGCTCGGGAAAGGTTGTGGAGAGGTAGCATGCGGTCCGGCGAAGGTCTGAATCAGTTTGACGAGAGAGAAATCGCCAACGGTCTCGGGCCAGATCACGGTTGGGATTTTGACGGGGATCGGTATATCGTGATAGACCACCTTCGACTCGAACTCGTGCGTGTCCCGCGGTAGAATGTGGCGGGCCATTTTCTTCGGTGATGGTGGGCACTCGCTAGCATCTGTCTCTTCTTCTTCCCGTTGACGAATCATTTGCTCGAATTTCTCAATAAACATCTCCTTTGTGTTGCTTGACTGTAAGATAGAGCGCTCGAGGATCGACATTTTGGGCATGAGCGAAAGATCCATGTTGTTGACGGCATCGTAGAGCGAAGCAAGCGTTTCGGGGTAGGGGGGACTTGAAGTAGTCTTCGAGTGCTAGGAGGAGAAGAGGCTGGTGTCGTTAGCTTAGTCGTGGTGGCATTCTTTCTGGTAGAGGTAAACCTACTTTATAGATGTGAAGAAACGAATGCCTGGTGCAAATCGCCATGGCCTTGACAACCGCACCACTATGTTTTGGTTAGATTATAGGACGAGATGGAGATTGAAGGATATATTCCATACCGTCGGACAGTATTATCTTGCTTGGTATTTACCAAGTTCAGCACATACATCAAGGGCGGACCTTCTCCGCCCTCGTCATCGTCATCGTCTTCACTGCTGTCGTCGACATCGTCTGGATTTTCGTGCTGAATATCCGCGCCCTCCTCATTCGTACGGTATTTTGACTTTCGCTTCTTTTTTTTCTTTCCACCCTCTTCATCGTCGTCATCATCGCCGCTTGTGTCCTTGTGCAAGAAGAATATCGTCCAATCCTGACTTCGGACGTGGGTCTGATCTGGAAGCATCAGCTCCGCCAACATGCTCTCGTCACCACTAATAGCAGCGGGGTATTGATGCTCCATGATCGGACCCCGGTCGATATGGAAAGATGCCACCAGAATGTACTCCACATGGCGCTCCGACGAGTCTAGAGGGTATTGTGACTTGCATCGGCGCTGCCTGAAGGGCGCCGCATTGTCGGTGGAGGAACGCTGGAACGATCGGTGGGAATGTGAGGCGCTGGGTGAGCGCCCGAGGAACGAAGGCGCCGGCGAAAGACGAGGGAGTCCATTGGTCTTGGGGTTAGTAGACAGGGAGTCGTTGGAGGGTCGGTATGGCAGTGTGCTCGCCATTGTCGGGGGAGGTTGAGGAAGTTGAGAGGGGTTGAGACTGATGCTCCTAGGAAATAAAGTCGAGGGACATGCCTATGCGCAGTGAAGTCAAGTTCTTTCTCCAGGGTCAGATCGAGGATCAATGCCGAGCCGCAGATCTGGTGGTTCAGGGGTCAAGGTCACTTCAGAAAAAGGGCGATCTCCACAGCGGGGAGCGATAGGGCGATAACAGAAAGCTCGGAGATGGGATACCCTAGGACTCTATGGGATAAATGTGTACATAGTTGTGTACATTCATGCACTAGAATTCCCTGACTACATAGTTAATGGAGAAAAGGTAAATAGTTTCATGTCATTTAGGTCAACCATGACAAGGGCAAAAACTTGACCAGTCCAACCTTGAACAGCTGGAAATTGATAGCTCCAAAACTCTCCAGTGCACGTGACTGTTGCTGGGTCATTGTTTACATCCGTCATCACTCGATCAGCAGTGCTGCTATCATATTGAACCTCCACGTTCAGCCATGGTGAGTACTGAGGCTCCTGTCTACTGCTACTTACCTTTGAATTTACCTGTGGCTAAGTTTTCCTCTTGCCATGCTCTAGTCAAGCAATCCCACTTTCAAGCCATCGCCGCTGTCCTTTGGCCAGCCACGGGCATCGCCCTTCCGGCGACCATCAACGCCAAACTCCCCGCCCTCCGGTCGCCCAGGTACGGCAGGAAGCTCTCCAAGCAGAGGATATACACCGATGCAATCACCAAGCAAATTGAACCAATCCTATACCGTTGAAGATGGGGAGCCGGTCTCCCCAGGAACGACCCGATTCCTCAACCCAAGTTCACGCGCGAGCTTCCTCCTTCCCCACCAAAGGCGCACAGGACCCCGGTCACTCATCGCCCATTCTTGGAAACCGTTCAAGGGGATGGAGTGGTACAAACACTGTACAGACCGATGTCTCTGCGAAGCTACCGCCCAATCAGATGAGAGAAATTCGAGAGGCTTTCCAGGTTCTCGATCGGGATAATGATGGTCTGGTCAACAAGGATGATGTCGCGGATGTATTAATGAATATAGGTGAGTGATGAAAAACAACAAAATCTGGGAATGACCGGGTTTTTCCTACTCATGCTGACCATCTCGATCAGGTCAAGATTCATCGCCGTCTACTCTTTCGCGCTTCTTCCCGCCCGGGTCACCGCAGACCATGAATTTCCCAACCTTTTTGAACACATTATCACAGCTAATGGCTCCCATGTCATCATCTCAAGAACTCCTCAATGCGCTCGCTGCTTTTGACGATGATGACAACGGTCAAGTCGATGTGGCAGAGCTACGGGATGCGCTTCTGCATACCGCCCCAGAGGATGGAGGTGTACCGTTGACAGAGCAGCAAATTGATGAGGTGTTTAGTGGATTTACTGGACGACGAGCATTCGGGGGACGGGGTGCGATGTCCGGGGGAATGGGAAAGAGAGGCGAGGTTTTCCAGTACCACGACTTTGTTCGCAGCGTCGTGGGAGGCGAGAATGCTAATAACGGGCGGCGTGAGGCGAGCGTGGCTCCGAACTAGATTGGAAAGGCTTGGTCTTTGCGATGGATGGCGTTGGGAGGGTGCTTATTGGGAGGCTTTTCTTGCTCTGCTCTACTTTACCTTCAGGTATTCTCTGGGCCCTTTACTTCAGCTGGGAGGGTCCAATTATGATCAATGTATACTGGGCTGAGCGCGCGCTACGCATATAAATTTCACACCGCGGAAATCTTGATATTCCACGATTATTAGTAGGGTACTATTTGGAGATCTCGCATAGTATACAATTAGCGTTCGAGAGTTCAAGTTTGTAGAATGCCAATGTGCCAGTACTACTAGTAGTATCCTCCCTCGGCAGCTCGTACTACGTTGGTATGTTTACTAGAGTAAATAATGTTGTCGGTCCCACCAAGACTATCGAGTATCACTGGTATGGCTCGGAATACATGCTATTTCGAGACCCAGAAGAGACCCAAACAATCCACCTGAAACATCGGCGATCGAATTGCAGCTGATCTCGGCGCTAAGGCTGCATCACCTCGATCCAATGCAGCGCGTTGCTCCGCAATTCTCCAACGGCAGAAAATCAGCTCGGAGCTTCCAGCCACCACTTCCAAACACTTGAACTTGGACTTAGCAACGGAATTTGGACCTGAACCTGAAGCCCACGTACTACCGCCTCCCCAATGCTGTCATAAGACATGGCCAAACCTCACCCTTCTTGGGGTCTTGCTGGCCCCGAGACTCCCGCATCACCGCGGACGATGCGAACACTCCGAAAGATCCAATCGCATCAAGTCCTCACCACCTCCAACGCCCTTATTGCCCAGACCCAATCTCGCCCATCGCCAGCTCGTACTCACGATTCCAACTCGACAGACTCGCCAGGTGGTCCAACGCGCACCCTCACCCATCGAAGGGCTCGCTCCAACAGCGATGCGGCCGCCCGTGAAGCTGCACTGGCAGCACCTATTCCACATCACAGACGCCCTGCTAGAAAGACCGGCTCAGGGATAGGAGTCAAGCGATCACTTCTGGAGAACCTCCTTCGCGATGGACCGCAATATGGAAAGACGCGGGAAGGGCTGCAAGAGTTAAAGTATCTGGTTCTTTCGACCAAGGTCGATGCAGATGGCGACGGCATGGTAAGGGCATTCTACTCTCGACGTGAGCGCATTGCGGCCTCCATTGGCTAACCCTTCGTTCTTTTACCCGATAGTCCCCTTACCGGATTTACCTGTGGCTGGTTCTCCTGAATATCCCACCCGTTCCCACGGACGACTACCTGACTCTCGTCCACCGAGGCGGCTCTCCTGCCTACACGAAGATCCGCAACGACACCTTCCGAACACTCGCCACAGACCCCCCTTTTTAAGCGCCGTGTGACGGAGGCAAGTCTTATCCGACTACTCAACGCGGTGGCATGGAAGCTACATGATTCGAAACCGAAATCTCGGTCCCGACCTACTTCCTCCCGACGGCGAGAGATGGAACTTTTAGTAAACACGCCCCCAAGCATTGCCGAGGAACCCGGCTCCTCTGACTCTGCGATTTATGTCCAAGGAATGAATGTTCTCTGCGCACCGTTTTTATACGCTGCTCGGAGCGAAGTCGAAGCATTCGCCTTGTTCCACTACTTCGTTACGCAAGAATGCCCTGGGTATATCCGCGGCGCACTGGACGGCGTTCACAAAGGCCTGCGGCTAGTCGATCGATGTCTTGAGATCGTCGAGCCTAAACTTGCCGCGTATCTCGCTTCGAAATCTTTAACGGCGGAACTGTACGCTTTCGCGTCTGTTCTTACGCTTTCTGCTTGTACGCCGCCGTTGCCGGAAGTTCTGCACCTGTGGGACTTTCTATTTGCGTACGGTCCGCACCTCAATATTCTCTGTATCGTTGCTCAGTTAGTCCGAATACGGGATACTATCTTTCAAAGTGACAGGTAAGTTGACAGACTCCGTACTCTCTCCACATATCTGACGCCTTTTTCTTTATTTCTCTTTTTAGCCCCGGAAGAGTCCTTCGATCCTTCCCTCCGCTTGAGGCTAAGGGCATCATAGCGATGGCAGTCTCATTTATCCCAAAAATCCCGGCCGATCTCTATGAAGAGATGATTAACCACGCAAAATGAGCGGCGCGAGGCCAAGAGGAAGGGCATATTATCTATTGCTTTTCAAAATGTGTACTTAATGTTCTGACTTTTTTTTTCCATAGTATGGCGTTCTGGGCATCACTTTGTTTATGAATTTTGGTTGCGGGATGGACAAGATGCATAACATCGGACGACTTCTCAGGTGTTATGATATAGCCTGAAATGAATTGATGATTCACGGTTGCATTCTACTTTTTATCATGTTCGAGAGCCAGCCAGTGGATTACTTGTAGAACATTTACATTCGTAGCTTCAAGTTGACGTTGCACAGTAGTACTACTACTAGTACTAGTATAGTACTAGTTCCAAGTTTCTATAGGAATTCTGCGGTTGGGTTGTTGACCAAGCGTTGATCTTACAGTATGAAATCCATGATGCCTAGGTAGAATTCAATACTACCCTCACCGTCTTTGGTAAAAACTTTAGAATAATATATGATGAATAATATGGCATAGTACATTAATATCAACAACGTCACGCATCAAATGCATCAATAATAAATCACAGTTTTCTTCAAAGGATCTAGGTCGGAGCAGATGTAGACAGCAATTCTAATGACCGACTCTGGTGACCCGACCCATCAACAACGAGCGGTTGACTAGGACCATGTGACTTCTTAGTAGAGATATCCTGTCCACACTCGCTACACCCAGAATTCTTATCATTCAAGGCCTCTGCTTCCTCTTCCGCAGCCATTGCACCGTCCCAACTACCACTGCGGAATTTGCCAGGTCCCTTGTCCAACATGACGCGGATTCTGGAGCCCATGAAAGTGAGGTTATTTAGCATTGACACGGCTCGTTTCGCATCTTCGGAATTTTGCATAATCGCCGAGCCATGTGTGCGCGCTTGGTTGTCACGAGTATCCGCTGTGATTGTCACATTGCATTGTTCGACAGTGCCGGAGCCGCGTAAGAGGCTCTTGAGATCTGCTGTCGTTGATGCGATGTTAAGGTTCTGGATCAAAACGGCCCGCTCTGGCGGTGGAGTCGTTGGTATTCTGGAATTGGGCTCGTTGGTCCAAGGCTTGCGGGGATGGTAGTGGTGGTAGCCATCTCCTCTTGCCTCGGGAAGAGGCTGGATCGGCGACATGGGGTACATGGGCATCAAGCCCCAGCCGGGGGCGTCGTACATGGAGCAATGCATCATTGGGGAGGGGGGGAAGCACTGCATTGGATCCGGCATCATGGGCATGAAGTGTTGTTGGCCGATTGGAACTGATCCCATCATTGAGCCGTAGTCCGGGTAATTGAAGGTTGGGCTTGTGGGTTGGACGGATCTAGGAAGACATTAGGGCTATTAAAGAGACCATGTAGGGTATGTGGATACTTACTCGGGCGAGATGGGTGATGGGGGCATGGTAGTGCTATCCTGAGATCGAGGCGGAGTTGACTGTCCAGACACGTAGCCAGTGTGAACCATAGCTGTAGGGCTTCGTGTAGGCCCGGCGATGGGCTTTGTGGGAGCGCTGGTACGGGCCAACGTTACAACCAAGCTCTGGCCTTCCCATCCGTTGGTTGATAGACGATCTGAACACCTCGTTAGCTATATGACTGGAAGAAAGCCGAGCTGAGGAAGCTGGAGCACACACGATAAGTACGCCAAGCTTCATCTTCATTTTTGATGATTATTTGCCCCAATCCGGTGGGAAACCCGTGGCTATCATCATATACAACAGCTTGTCGGATATGCAAGGCAGTCTGGCGCACTAGATCCTTTAGTTCTTGCCAGCGGCAGTGGGCCGGAATCTGATATTTGGTTTAGTCATTATTATTCTATTTAGAAAACGTGAATATGACTCACTCCCTGAAGGAATACAACGAATTCATCGTCCGATCTGCGAGACTTCGGGGTTCGACCCTTTTCACGGCCTAGGAATGGCATAGTTGTGGGCGATTTTATCGCTTGGCAGAAGATAAGAGTTTTGTAGCTCTTTTCACGGCTGTATGTGCAATTCTGGCTAATCCTTTTCAAATGTATGAGTCTTTGTTGTTCGCAATTTCCGCGAGGTCGCGCCCAGTATCGTCGCAAAGATAAGTTGGAAAACAGCCGGGGTTCGCCCTTGTCCGACTAGGGTTGGGTTTGGTCGAGATCACAATTGGATACAATTCCTTTGTGTGCGGGATGCCTAGTTGACGACCGTGTTAGTTGTGGGAAAATATCTATTGGCGGGTTCGAAATTGATTCTGGGGACTCGGCATGGAAACAAGCAAGGGAAAGCTGTCATCGCATATCACCCATCGTGGGGGAAAAGGCACTTCAAGGGGGAGGGCGAAGTAACAAGAGAGTCTAACTTACTTAGGCTTTTTCAAGTCACTAGAAGTTAACAAACTGGCCTGATCGACACATGTATTTTGCAGAAACAGAATCCAAGCCCTCCACGAGCCGAGCGTTCAGTCTATTAAAGGAATGGGAAGAATGGGAAGGAATGGCAAATCAAGCAGGCGAAGAGAGGTTTTCGAGGGACGTTCCACAAAAGCTGCTCTCATTGTGGACAAATCTTAAGCAGGTCGAGACTAGTTGTAATTATTAGGAATCTCCTAATAATGGCTTGAATGCAGTAGACTGAGGCGAGACCCAGAAAGCTGCAGTGGCTGACGAATGGAGAAGCGCCAAAGGACTGCCAGCCAGCCAGTTAAGTCAGGGATCGCTCGACTGCTCCAATACGCAGTGCTGAGATATGTCATTTTCATCGCGACGAAGCCTGAGCTCAGCTCCTCCCGTCCACTGCCAAATGCAATAAATTACTACTTCGTACCACCCAACTGGGCGATGATTCCCACCAAAAAAGGTTCCAGTGGTGTCATCTCTGATATGATTGCTTTTTCCCCCGTGTACATGTACACTTTGCACTTACATGCCAGAATATCAAGAAAGAAAAGAAAAAGACACCAATCTCAAGTTGACGTCGACTTGATCGACTCGAAGCCCGGGTGTACCCGTCTCATTAATCTTAGCGGACGGCGGGGGCAGGTGGGGGTGTGGTATGAAAGACGAATATCCACAAGATCTTGGAGTGCTAGATGCAGCGCCTAAGCATGCTTCGTGTTACACCGCCAGATCCGGATCGGACATGCTCCTCAAGAGTTGCTGAAGAGGGGGCGAGTGGATCTTCGCGAGCCCGCGAGGCGGCCCATGACCCTATATCCATCACATTGGCATTATGGGCTGCATGATCCCTGGACTCTGCAGGACTCGCGGAGGAGTAGACTAAGTCGAAGTGGATGCCAGCGGCAAGATTGACTCAGTCCCAGCCAGAAGAAAGCCCTCAGGAGTTAGGGAGATCGGCGATCGACGGGGTCTCTGGGAGACCCTGCAACATGAACATGAGCAATCAGACAAACGCACGAAAAACTCTGGCCATCGATTGGTCTTTGCTTTTGGGACGATCTGGTGATTATTGATTTTCAATGTGGGCTAATTGGGAGTAATGTATGTACCTGCAGCGGCAAGCTAGACAGGATCGTGGCTGGCTGCGAGTGCAGTTTTGGCTAGTGAGAACACTCGAACGGTCTCCACTCGCCAACAGAACTGTGTGGAAATCGTTGCGTTGCTGGGACACTTTGATCCACACGGATGCAGCTCATACATGTAATGGTGATAAAGAGCAGCGTCTTAGGTGGCGGACGCTTCAAGGGCCCGGGCGCACTGCAGAAATCCATCCGGTGCCATGAGCTGTTCTCTGGGCGATCTCGGACACAAAGTTGCACAGATTAGCCCCATCAAAACTTGACAGATAATTTGACTCCGAGGAATAGCTCTGCGGGTTCCACCGTGGGGTATATTCTTTGCTCGATTGATCGACTATTGGCGTGTCAACCCCGGTTTATCCGTAGATCCTGCTGAAAGTGCCGGGCCTGTTAGGTTTGCGCCATAAAAGAGATCACGGCAAGGGCATGTGCGACTTCCCAAAGGCTATTATTCTACTTTTTGAACCGAATCAAGAATACTCGTACCCGGTGTAGGACAAGACTGGGTGCCCCGAGCCGGACCACGCGATCATTCTGCGAACTGCGATGGTACGTACAGTCACAGTACGAGGATACTACTACAACTATAGATTACGTACCACACTTTCCCAGCGGAAAAGTATTCCGCTGGCGAATACTTTTATAGTCCACGAAGAATCCTCGTTAAATGATAATGTGGGTTCTTGTCTATTCGAGGGAAGAGAAACAACCGTTTTCAAATGATTATGCTCAAGCAGATAATTGAAACCGATACCATTCCAAGGTTGGTTTAACTCCGATTCCCATCGATGCCATTTATAGTAGAACCAATTGTCAGGGGACATTTCAAATACTGTACATGCTTACTAGTGCCTGTTGGTTGCTACGGCATCCACCTAATAGTAAGTAGGACTTCCGAATGCCCACGCTATTGAAGTTCTAGTACGGAGTATATTGTGACATATTGAATAGTACAGACGAAACAAAGTTTAGAAGCCCTGGAGGATTTCCAAAAAATTGTAGGGGTGCAGGGCTGACGCGCAAGATCAATCAAATACGCTATGTATAATGCGCCAAGGATAACCAATAGACACGCTCGGCAGCGATTAGGGTCTGGCTCATATAGCGGGAAGAATACGCTCCATTGTGATTTCTCCCCGCAGGATAGGCGTAATATATGAGGCAATTCCGTATTGCCAGATATAATAGTCGTTAAATTTAGCAATTTGAGAGTAACACTCTTCCCTCGCTGACGGCGTGTCTGTTTACACGGCCATCGTGGCCTTCCAACACGTTCGTTTATCGCGTGTCTTGGAGTACCATACCACCGATAAGGATTTCAGTATGCGAAGAATGATGGCGACGTTATGATGAGATAGCTGGCAAATGTGTTTAAGGAAATAAACCAAGGAGCCCACACAGGAACAACGATCGATATCGTTGTTGGTAGAAGGGGGTGGGTGTCGATTTTCACGAAACGAAAGGGGTCGAAGGGGCCCCGGGGGGTGCCAAATCCAGAGACAGGTATCGGATGAGAACAGAAGGGAATCTGTTTATAGTGATAGACGTAATACAGGCCCAGCCCGTAGTAGTGGTGATGGTCGGTTTGTCAAAGTATGGAAAGCTGTTGCCTTCCGATCAATGGAATCGTTTGTTCATGGCACGAATCCAACCTTGGAGGCGCAGCGACTACAATAATAGGAGTTCATGCCAAATTGCACGGCACCAGAGCTCGACTGGCTGGCGAGACTAAGGGACTGTTGACAGCGCGAACAGCGGACGATGTCGAAGCTGAGGGGTGGAGACGCCCCGGGCGGATGGGGCACGCCACGGGGCTGCGGCACGATTTGAACCGCGGGCGAGCTCATCCCGAGGTCTGTGGTGGAGTTTAGGGGTTCGTTGGATGAGCTCGGAGGGAGTAGAGTGAAGTTGAATAGGGAGGGAGAGAGAAGAGAAGAGGAGAGAAATTCTCGAGGAGAAGTTAATGTTTTTAAAAAAGCGAGGGTGGAGGAGCAGCAGGAGGCAGTGAAGAATGTTTCCATCAATAGGCCCCCGTGATTACCCACGGGTGCTAGCGCGGCGATAGCGCATCCCTTGTGCCCCAGTAGGTTAATCGGTTTTGATTTTGGTTTCGCGTTCGGTTTTGACTCGCGTACAGCTGAAAACCCCCCGTATTTTTAGATTCTTGTCTCTTCAAACCTTACGAGTTTCCTGTTTTTGGGGATAAGAATGTCACAAGCACGAGGGGTCATTGGCGTCACGACATGTATTTACCCCCCTCCCCATCCAGTCTGACCCATGGTGGCGAATCCATTGGGTTTTGCTTTTGTTTTTGATCTTGAATCTTGTTAAAGGTCGCCTCGTCTGTGATATGTAAAATGCGTGTTGCCTTGGTCTTTCTTTCTGAAGGTTTCTGCATTTCTCCCATACTCTCGTACTCGGGTGGCCTGGAAAGGCTGTGCTAGACGTAAGAACCATTGCCGGTCTTGCCGGCCCTACCTACCTGCCTACCCTGCCTACCCTGTATAGGCCTCATCTAGACCTTCTGCAAAATGTTGTCATTTCGAAACGCGATCTGCATGCGGCCCGAAGGAGCAAATGTTATTATCGTTGGCGTCGAGGGATAAAGTGTGGCGAAACATTGGCGGGTGGGCCGATCATATCCGACCGCGAGGGGAGCTGGATACATTCGGCACTTGAATTGGATGGCTTGTTTTGAGGAGATTGTTCCAAACAGAATCCTGATTCCGAATGGCGGATGTGGCTGCTGTATCCGTACTCAGTATTAGTAGTGCCTCGTGGTTGGTGTGATGGAAGGTCCAAGATAAGATGAAGATGCTCTTGCTGCAGACGACGTCATCCCCCTCCTCTTCTCCCCCTCCGCCTCCACTTCCACCTCCACCTTAATTCGCTTCAATTCAATCTGCACTTCACTCCGTTACCCCTCCATCGGCATCACATTCATCCTCGCAAACATGGCCACCGCACAGCCCCAGCTTTACAGTTTCCCCAGCACTGATGCTCTCGCTAAGCAATTAAGGCCCTACATCCTTCGAGCCCAAAATGCCGCCATCGCCCGCCACGATACCTTCCGCGTCGCCGTCTCCGGCGGCTCTCTCCCCACCGTGCTGGCGCGCTCTCTGCTTGAGCCCAGCAATGGTACTACCGAGGATACCCCACAGTTCGCCAAGTGGGATATCTTCTTCGCCGATGAACGGGCCGTCCCGCTTGACCACGAAGACAGCAACTACAAGCTCCTCAAGGCTGAGCTGCTGACCAAAATCCCAGCGGAGCTCGGAGCTCCGACTGTCCACCCCATCGATGCCGACCATGTCAACGACGATGACCCTCAGGAACTGGCCGATCTCTATCAGAAGGACCTGATGCGGTCCTTCGCCGCCAAGGACAGCGTCAAGCTGCCCATCTTCGACCTCATCCTCCTGGGTTGCGGTCCCGACGGCCACACCTGCAGTCTGTTCCCTGGCCATGACCTCTTGCGCGAGAAGGACGCTTGGGTGGCCGCGGAGAGCAATTCACCCAAGCCTCCTCCTAAGCGTATTACTCTCACCCTGCCCGTCGTCACCTCCGCCCACGATATTGCCTTCGTGGCCACCGGCGCTGGAAAGAAGGATATTATGAAGGCTATTTTCGACTCGGAGGAGGGCCGCAGCCTTCCTTCTGCTCTGGTGAACCAAGGTGGTGGTGATAAGGTGAGCTGGTTCACAGACCACCCCGCCATTGACGGCGTTGCTTTCCCTCGTCGTGGTAGCCTCTAGAGTTACAACAGATCTTGGCCCGGCTTCAAAAAACAAAACAAGCGTGCGATTTATCAATCCGACAGTTATAAATTGGTCACAGGGACGGGCACGGGGAGGATCGATCTTCGATAGTTTCCCAAGATGCTTAGGGTCTCCGTAGGCATACGGGGGAAAAGTCGATTCTTGACTGCCAATTGACAGTGGGATTTTTTCCTTGTTCTTCCCCTGGCCATTCGACAAAAGAACGGCCGGGACATTTGAAATTGTCCGAGTCGACGTGTCTACGCAGATAGAAATGGATATTCAAAATATAGAGTTTGGACCAAATACCTCACGTACTTTGAAACGATTTGATTGGGGTGCTATTAAAGATCTCCGGTTTTCAGTATTCTAGTATATTGATGACTTCCGCCTTGAAGCTTTTCCAAATCACACTAAATAATATTTTATTAGTATGCCCAGGTGATATCAGGAACATAATCCCAATGAGTCGAACCAGGAGAACAGCATTACACTAGAATATCCAGTAAGATAGTGTTTCCCTTACCCGCTGCCAAAAAAATAACTCTGACCCCGAAGCGACTCGAACGCTTAACTTTCAGGACTGGAATCTGACACTCTACCAATTGAGTTACGGGGCCGAATTTTACATAAATTTACGAAAAAATATGGACTCAAGGTTCAGGCAGTAACTTTAAGGCAGCAGCAGGGCCGAGCGCAGGACAGCGACCCAGCTCTGCAGCAACAGACGCAGACGACCATGCATTGCCAAGCGCCATGATATGATTCTCACCTACTATCAGATAGGTGCCCGTCTACAGATTCGGCAGTTGGTAGATAACAGGCTGGCTAAGCAAAGCATCGGGGACTGAACAGCCGTCATGTACGTGTATTCTGAGCCCTGATCGCCGGAACATATATTGGTTAGCATGTGGAGTCAAGTATCATAGTCGGGTTTCCAGGTCGCATTCAAGTTGTGAAAGTAGCTGGCCGCCTCATACTAGTATAATTCGTACTTCTTAAGGGTTGTGAAGTTCTGCACAACTTGAACCCAGTCCTCTAGGCCCAGTGGCTCGGCAAGGAAGAGCTGATTGACGGACTCGGGATACATGAGACCACAGCGAGCATCGATCATGCCACCCATTCCAAGGTTGAATCACCGATGACAGTGGCCTGGTTGATACCTAGTGCAGTGAGAAGACTGCTTATATTCAGCGCATATTAATGCACATTGTGAGAATAGCCCTAGGGCTTGCTCGATCTGCAGAAGCCAACGTCGTCAGGCAGGATTACCCGGTAACCAGCGGCGGATTGTTGGCGCGCTGTATCAGAGCAAGTAAACCCGCAAAAGTTTCCACCGTGAATTAGGACGGCGGTCTTGTGTCTATCGGCTTCCTTTGCCTGTCGAAACGTCTGTGAATGCCACTGAGAGCTTCTGGTGCTGATTGTAGAAATTGAACCAGGGTGAGGGGGTTAAGTCAAAGTCAGGTCCAGGATGGGATGAGTGTACTATTTTCGAACGTGTGCTCTCATGATGGAATTTCTTATAGAAGAAGGGGCAATCATCTAGACGTGGACAGTTGATGCAGCGAGATCGCAGGGCGCTTGGGAAGCTTTACTAAGGTATGGACTAGACGTGAACAACCCAATGCCACAGGCTCGCGTGCCTTTGATGTGAGTTCAGCATTTCAATCTTCAGGATCTTAAGTAATATGCCGTGTGCTATATTGATAGTTCTTCTATATAGGGCAGTTGTGGCTAAAAATGATCCAACTCTACTTCGTTGGTATCTTTCCTTGGGAGCGGATCCCAATCTAGGTCCTCCACAATCCTCCCTCCGTGAGAAGGGCTTCGTGGATAAAAACGATCCCCCAAGTTCCGACTCTAGCGGAGCATTAGCACAAACAGTTATAAACTGTGGCACGGATATTGTCGATATTCTAGTCGAGCATGGTGCCAACCTCGAGAAGGGTCTCGCCTTACGCCGTGCTTTGAAGCGGCAACTGGAGAATCGCATCCCAATGATGGAGCACCTCCTTCATCTTGGGATAGACATCAATCATTTTGGATGGACCCTTCCCCTTAAATACGGTGGAACTGCACTGCACCTCGCGGCTTGTACCGGCCAGATCGAGGAAACGCGATGGCTCCTTGAATCTGGGGCTGATCCTACTATCTCAAACTCGGTGAAAATGACTTCTGACGCCTATGCTCTTCTAAACAGACATGAGGCAGTATCGAGAGTGATTCGTGAATGGAAAGGCCGAAAGCTAGACTAGGAGTATGTATGAGAATACGCAATGCTCTGGCTTTCTGACGGTCGCTGCCGTTGTTGCTAGTTCAGGCGCTCCGAACTTGTGGATCACATTCAACTTCAGACACTGGAATTTAGACTCAATTTCCTTCGCACAAGCAATACCCGGTCCGAATCTTGAGGGGGAGCATGTTCATGTGGGAGATGAAACATAACTTGGCCAATGGGCAGGAGAAAGTCCGCATCCAGACTTCCAAGAAGTAGAATCTTGAGAACCTAATGGATATGATGATCGGACATATCCAGCGCTGGAAAAAGGTCAACAAAACATTGCCTACAAGTAAGTATCCTTATCTACCGTGATGGTGTGTGTGAGAACTTCGCAGCAGCATGGAGCAAATGTTAATACTGGCTGGTTACTGCTCCCTTTAATTCAAGACTAAATGTCATGGCACTGTAGGATGATACCACTGGGCATAGATTCATGTCTCAAGAGAACCTTAGTATAGCTAGTAGACATATGTAGTAGTGCTAAGTTCTAACTTAAGTGATTGACCATAGCGCTGATGATGGACATTAGAACAGCCCGCTGATTGGCCCATCACGCGGTGGAGACCTCCGGCGCGGATCACCGCAGTTGTGAACCCAAACATCCAACTTGGCGGCCTTCTGGTCATTCCCCTGGGTAGATCACCGTGGGGGAACCCCCAGGAGTCGAGTCAGATATTACCTATTAGGCCCAAATATGCCGATCCCAACACGGTCGATGTCTCTGCGCGAACCGCGTGAGCTACGCAAGCCGGTTAGCTCTCCCCCGCATAACCATCCCCCAGCATTCCAATCGCTGAAACCTCAGTGCAATGCAGCAAACCTCTGGTATCGCACGACCTGCAGCAAAGACCACTGGTACCAGCAAGGTTCCTGCCAGACTGCCAGTTTCCAATGACAGACCACAACCCACCCATTCGCCCATTGAAGGAATCGCATCCTCACGCGGCCGAACACTCCTCCCACAGCGCAGCAATACCGGTCGAGATGAAAGCCATGAAAGCCATGAAACCCAGAGCGCTGGGCAACCGTCATTCCAGCCACCTGAGAATAAACCTGTGCGCGAAATCTCACCAAAGAGACAGCAAACTGTAAGCGACACGAAAAAAGCGTCAGCGACGACTGCCACCGCTCCGGTGCCCACCCGTCGCCAGAGCCTAATGCGGCCCGGCACATCCAGAGTCACTCCGATCTCGACCTCAAGCAGGGGCAATGTACCTAACTCTACAAAATCTCCGCTCTCGATAGCGCCGCCATCGCCGCGCAAACAGCCTACAACTCGAACACCTGCGCAACCTGCACCGAGACCCGCTTCCCCTAAAAAGACGACCATGCCTCCACCGCCACGGCCTGTACGCTCAGCTTCTCTGAGACAACCCCCAAATAACACGAGACCAGGAGCGGGGCCACAAGTTGAAACCAGAGGCCATACGCGACATCGGAGCCAGATGGTGCCGGGGACCGTGAAGAAGACTCAGACCGACTCTGCAACTGCCGCCACGACACAGAAAGCTAAGACACAATTTTCAACCTACCAGCAACATTACTCTCCCAAAAAGCCGGCAGTCAAGCCTCCGACACCTACTCCTGGCACTCATTCGACCTCAGCGGCAGATGGTTTGCTTATTCCAGCGTCGTGGCCGGATATTGCAGCCTTACAAACCGAGCTTCTTCAGCTTAGCCTTTTACATTCCAACTCCCTTCAGCGACAAGCGGATTGGAAGGTAGAATCGGAAACACAGTTGCGCAAGAAGTACGATGCTGTGGCAGATCAATACCGGTCTACATTAGACGATGAAAAACAGCGACAAACTCATATCAATATGCAAGCTCTCGGATACTGGGCCCAGAACTGCCAGGGTCACCATGGCTCCAGTGACTTCTCCGAACAGATTCAGATCCTGTCGCAAATAATACAAGAGGTATCCGACCTCGCTGCCCAAGGAGGGCATGGCCGATATACCCGAGCGGTCGAAACCTTTGAGGCCTGGTTTTATGATGCAGAGAATATTCGATCCCACAGGGAGTCGTCGGGCATCGCCGATCGCGTTGTCTTCATCAACCCATTGGATCTGACTTGGAAGGAAGAGTTGCATACCCTGAAGGCGAAACTGGATCTTTGCATGCGGCAGCTTGGAAGTCTTGATGTCCAAGCTTTTACCGGGGTCGAGGGTCTAGAGCAATCGGCCCTGGTGCGGGTGACACAGGGCCTGTATGAATCTACCCAGCTTATGATTCAAGAGATACACGCCATGCGAACCACTGAGAGCGAAATTGTCCGCGTAGAGCGAGAGCAGGTCAGTCAACTAGCCACTGGGCTGGCCAATGTTCATCGAGGAACGTTGCAACCACGGGCAGGGCTTTGGAGGTCATGATGACATGAAGACTGAGAAGAAGAATAAAAAGACTCAACGGTTTTATTGAAATAATTACAAAATATTCTAGCACATTTGGGGATTTTCCATGAATTGTAGTAGATTAACACGATCAGATGTAAGATATGGTGCCTGAACTCCTGATATTCCCATATAGTCGTATCCCGGTAGCTGCCGAGGTACACCGCTTTCCGCTGGCTTGGGCAGGTCTGGATTGCGGTCGACGCCATCAACCGGTTCTGGACGTGACGAGGTTCCCCTCTTACTTTTCCTTGCTTCTCTTCAACTTCAACTTCTCTGCTGTTCCTTTGTCCATCATCCCCCGTCAACCTGTGAGCTTCCCTGTCATAGTGTTCCTTCTACATTTCAACCCGTTATCTTGCTGACGTCATTCTCAGTAACATCTCCGCGCGTGGAAGATCATAAAAAAGAGACGGCGAAAGAAACTCAGCTTGCTCTCATTTCAGGCTACCTTGCCCTCCCTTTCACCATGATCTTGAATTGCCCCTAGTGAAACTCGACTTCCTGGTGACTCTGCCGACATATCACCATCATGAAAGACTCACTTTACGATCGCCTCTGGCGCCGAGAATGCGGGGATTTGTCCTCATATGCCGGGCTTCGGGGTATCTACGGTGGTAAGGAATGGGTCGAAAATCTCGATATCGTGAATGAGTTGGGCGGACATACAGGATGCGTGAATGCCTTAAGGTATTTAATTATCCTCGTCAATGCGTTGCCCACCAGTGCTAACCAGCCGCAGTTGGTCCCGATCCGGACGTCTTTTGGCCTCGGGTTCCGATGATCAACACCTCAACATCTATTCCTACCAACCGGACTCCTCGAGTGCACCATTCGCCCTAGACACCACAGTTCTCACTGGCCATAAGGCCAATATCTTCTCCGTCAAGTTCATGCCGCACTCCAATGACCGAACCTTAATAACTTGCGCGGGCGACTCGCAAGTACGCGTTTTCGACATTGAATATGCCAGCAAAAGCGAGAATGCCGGTGCCACATCGGCCTTTGCGGCATCCGCCCGCAGTCAGCGCTTCAACAATTTCTTTGAAGGGGCCCGGTATCTCAGCGAAGGAAACACCAATGCTAGAGCTTACCGGAGCCATTCTGATCGCGTGAAACGTATCGTCACAGAGTCGTCGCCCCATCTCTTTCTGACTTGCTCCGAGGATGGTGAGGTCCGTCAATGGGATTTGCGACAGCCATCATCCGCTTATCCTCCACCTCGGGGTGGCCAGGGCTTCAGGGCATACCGGCCCGGACAGGAGCATGACGACTCGAACGTTCCTCCGCCGCTCATTTCATACAAGCGATATAACCTGGACCTCAACACAATCTCCTGCTCCCCAAGCCAACCACATTACATCGCGTTAGGTGGTGCCCACATGCATAGCTTTTTGCATGATCGCCGTATGCTTGGTAGAGACATCTCTGCTGAAAGAGGCAGTCCCTCTGTGTCGACTCCAAGTGCTGGGAGCAACGCAGATGAAATGATGGGAAAGGCAACTAGGTGTGTGCGACGGTTCGCACCTCGTGGCAAGCGTCGTCTGAAACACATTGACGAAGGTCACATTACTGCCTGCAAGATCAGCGATGCGAACCCGAATGAGATGATAGTCAGCTGGTCGGGAGACCACATCTATAGCTTTGATCTCGTCCGAAGCCCCGATGCTCGTGATCAGTCACCCGAGGGGAAACCGGAGATCAAAAACTCCAAAGGCCGTCGCAGTGACAGCTCACGCAACCGAAAGCGAAAGCGCCCAAAGCCAACTTCAATGTCCTCCCATGGAAGTGGAGACCGGCATCATTCCCGACGTCGCTCTGCCGAGCCAAATGCTTTCAGAGTTCATTATGAAAATGGTGAAACTTCTGACATCTCGTTCTCAAATCTGTCGGATAGCGACGAATCTCCGGAAGGTATACTGGAACGTGCAAGAAACTCGGTATTGAGCGAGGCCCAGAAATTTAGCATGGAAATTGCAAAAGGCTTGGTCAAGCTCCGAAAATCCTTATTCTCCTTGGAAACAGCGACGCGAGAGGCTATGGAATCGAATCAGACAGATATTCCTCCTATCGACTCCTTCGACACAGCCTTAGCTCTGGCGTCTCAATATTTACCCAAGATGAACGATGTCATCAGTAAATGGCGCTACCCGATGAACCCCTCGCAGGACACTGTTGTATTCCAGCAAACCCTTCGTCGTAACCGCCAAGCATCGTGGAGATTTGTCCAAGCGGCTGGTACCCTTGCCCATACATTGGAAGTGATCGACAACTCCGAGAACGCTGGCTGGCGAGATTTTATGAAAATTTCGCCCGCGCCAAACGAAGACGATTCTATTGAGCGAGAAGCTCAATTTGGGTATGACTTTTTGAAAGCAATCTTGCTCTGGTTACAAGGTGGCAGACTAGGGTTGCTGGCTGGATTCAAGCGGGATTCATATCCCATGCGAGTACATGGGCGATTTCCAATACCAGCTGACGCTGGCGACGAGGCGATTGATGAAGTTCTGCTCCCATACCTACAAAGCTTAGCAAGTGACACGCCGATCATCAACGTGGATGCATCTCGCTTTGAAGTCGCTGCCTCCCGAATCCTATTTCAAAGTCAACGAGCAGCGGTCACGGCATTTGGCAATGCTGTGAAATTGCCTCTCGAAAACTTGGAAAACATGGCTGCCCGAGTCGATAAGCGTCGCGTCTCTAATTCTTCCTCACATGTTCGATCTCTTGACCGAGCATCGGCCACTCGGTTCTGGATTTTGAGGGTCGGCAGAGGTGTTCTAATGGAAGCCGGAAACGGTGTCGATTATGCTTTTGTCAACCGCGCTTTTGGTGGACTCTACACTGCAGTGGCAGATGATGAATCCGATAGTGACGAGGACCAGATAGTGGAAAGATCCCAAGAAGATATTGATCCCAATGTGGAAGAAGAGCGCATTAGGTCGGTTAATCTTGTGAGGACGCAGCGCGCCTCTCGTGAAAGTGCTGCAAATGCTACAGAAAACGACAGCATTACCCCCAACGAGGCTGGATCCTCTGATAATTTGGCGATTCGCAGTGCCCCTGGAAATCGAGATGATCAGAGTGCAGCGGAGGCCCCGAGTGACAGTGAAAGCGACGGTGAGGATGAAGATGAGGATGAAGATGGTCACTGGGATTTAGGCACTATCGACTCATCAGATGATGAACAGGAGGATGGAGATAGCGATACCGAGCAGCCTTTCTTGGGATATAATGGCCGCATGTCTCAGCGGGGAGAGGTCGAACTTGATGTGCCATGCTCAGCACAATCCCGGGTTTACCGAGGCCATTGTAACATCAAGACGGTAAAAGATGTGAATTTCTTTGGCTTAGATGATGAATACGTGGTGAGTGGCAGTGATGCTGGCCACGTCTTTATCTGGGATCGGAAGACTACGAAATTGGTCAATATCCTAGAGGGCGACAGTGAGGTTGTCAACGTCGTGCAAGGTAATAACGAGCACCCCCTTTATACCAGTTTTATTTTCCTTTCTCATTTTCTCATTCAGGTCACCCATACGAACCCACTTTGGCTGTATCAGGCATCGACAGTACGATCAAAGTCTTCTCCCCTGATCGATACGCCCAAGATCAGGCTCGGCGCGGATTCAATATTCTCGATCCCGATAACCCATCCAATGTTCTACGCACAAATGCAAGCAACATCGGTGGGCTGCAGAGTCGCAAGCGCATCGAGGATAGCTACCGCATCATGAACCAAAACGATCTCGACCGCCGCGGAGGAATGGATGAGGCGTACATTACTGTACATATGTCTCCTTAAACCCGACTTGACCAACGCTAATACGTCTTTAACAGAGGAACATGCTTACCCGCCTAGCTGCCACACTGCGAGGTCGACCAGGCGTCAGTTTTGGGGATGGAATCCCTGCCATCGCCGGTGAAGACGATGATCGCCCTAGTGTTGTGCTTGATGACAATTGCATGGTTTGTCTTTCTAGCGAAGCTTGTCTGAAAAACGCAGCTAACATTTTTCGTGATAGGTGATGTGATATTCAGCTATGACGACGGCACGGCATCAAATCTTCCGACTTCTACAACCCCGGCAACGCGGTCAACGAAGTCAACGAAATTTGGATCGATAGTTCGAACTCATCTCCCGCTTGCCCCTTGGTGATTCCGACTTGGGACAAGCTGGTTGACCTCCGCATGACTCGTCGAAGAAATCCCTGGCATCGATTCATCATCCCACTGAAACGATATTTCAGAGTTCTCCAAAACACTACCATGAACACGAACGTGATAATGCCCTCCTCCGGCTGTTCTATTTTACGACAACTTTTTTCAGTCTTCTCTTTTTTTTCAATTTGCTTGCCTCTTCCAGATTGATGCTGCAGGTTGGTGGCGACGGGGAATTCGGGCGCTAAATTAGCATGAGAATGGCATTTTTAGGGACAACTTGCATGAGATTGACATGGCGCTACTATAATTAAATTAATTACTACTCCAGTTATCAGAGTTCTTATATGTAATTTCCAATACCTCAAATTGTTCAAGGTTCCCTCCAATTCCCTATAAACCTACTAAATATAGCATGCAATCTCCAACTTGGAGTATACTCGCAGACCTTCCCCGCCACCCCCCACCAACCAAATGCCCCACATTGAAAAAAATGCGCCAAAGTCACAATTAACATCTTTCGAAGTCAAACACTAGCCATTCCTTTCTCAAAACCCTACCAAAATGGCCGCGGAATTGCTGCAGGCTCGCGCCGAGAAAACAGAACACCTCTACGCCGATCCGCACAATCCACACCTCTACCTCGACCGCGCCCGTCTCTATGAACAGCTCGGCTTCCCCGATTTAGCGGCCGCCGATGCGTACCGCGCGCTGTCACTGCTCGAATCTGTCGTTGACCCAGACGGGTGTGAATTCTTTGCTCGCAAGAAGGTTGATACACCTGCTGCTGAGGTGACGACTGCGCCGAATACTGAAGGCGAGGGAGACAAGGACGAGGACGAGGACGAGGACGAGGATGACGATGACGACAACACAATCCCAATAACGCAGGAGGAATACGATGCCTCAATTGGCGAAGTATATGCCATTCTAGTGCGTGGTCTGGTCCGCTGTGGCTGTTATCGCGATGCGTATGAATTCGGCGTGCGCGGAATCGGTCTGTTGGATGGTTCTTCTTCAGCCACGACTGTACTGAACGAGCAAATGGAGCAAGTCAAGAAGGTGTACCAGGCTCGCACGAAATCAGAGCAAGACATCGAACTAACCTCGATTGACTCTGCCATTCTCCCCGCGCAAGGCTATGCTCGCCGCGTCCTTTATCCCTGGAACGAACATGAACCTGATCGTCGTGCGCCGGAGGAATTGAAATTCCTCAACGAGAGACTCGCTGATATTGCGCCGAAATGCGAAGTTCGAGCCGTGGCTCTACCGGCTTTGCATGATGGTCATGATGAGGAAGAAGTCTCTGTTCAACTTGGTCTCTTTGCTAAGGAAGATATCGCCGCTGATGAAATTATTCTTCGCGAGAACTCGCTTCTCACTGCGACAAATCGTCTCCATGATGATCTTTGCGACGCATGTAATGCTCCCTTGCCGGATCTCTCGGCTGCAGAGCCACCTGTCGGATGTGAGGGTGGTTGTGCAGATACCGTGTTCTGCAGTCAGACCTGCCATGACCTCGCACAGCGTGTCTATCACGGTGCGATTTGCGGGTTGGAAGATGGTCTTGAGTCTATTGGGAAGGATATTCCCGATCCTAAGGATAAGGCGGATTGCCTGTACCTTCTGCTACTCGGTCGAGCTCTCGCCATGTCTGCCACGCAGGATGTCGACGCCCTAGAACTGCCAGAAGTGAAGTATATATGGGGAGATTTCCACGACTTCGACATCAAGACAGCACTTGCTTCGCCCTCGCAAAGCGATGACTCCGTCTCCCTCCCATTCTCCTTCCAACTGAACATCCTCCAGCCCATGCGCTTCCTCGAGGAAATGGAGATCGATCCCTATGCCTCGTTGCCACGCTACGACACCTGGGTGCTGAACACGTTGTATGCCAAGTTCCGCGGCACTGCTTCAGGCCGCCTTTCGACCTGGGATGGTGGGCCGGAACTTTGCGCTGTGCACCCGCTTTGGTGTTTGGCGAACCATTCGTGTGATCCGAACGTGCGGTGGGAGTGGGGTGGAGAAATTACTTTCCGCGCGAGACACGATGAGGAAACGGCTGTGTGGGTGAGGACTGATGATGAGGGTAAGATCGCGGCTAAGCCCCCTGCGAAGGGGGGTATTGCGAAGGACCAGGAGATTTTGAATCACTACTGTGATATTGGTCTACCGGTCCATGAGAGGAGAGAGTGGGCTTCTGGTGCTCTGGGTGGTATTTGCCGCTGTGACAGATGTATTTGGGAGTCTTTCGAGGATTAAAAGGATGATGCTGCTGCAATTATATTAGACTATAGAGTTACGGTGGATGCGATGTGATGTTGATGTATGAGATACCCAAGGATCTTGATTTTGTGGAATGTGGCATAGTATGCATTGGTATCTGGAATTCCGCCGCGAAGGCAAAAGAGTTCAAAAGCAAAGAAATAAAGTACAACCGTTAAAAGAGTTTCCTGCCCATTCGCATGACCGTGCCTCCAGTTCCCAAAACAAGTCTTTCCTATCCGGCAACTTTATACCAACTAGTACAACAGCACAAACGCTATGCACGAAACGCACTTGGCGTATTGCCATTGTGCAATAGACTATCAACGGCGAGGCGGCGTTCGTGATGCGCTTCTACCTCGCGAATAATCCCGGCGTCTGGGGGGACTACCGGAGACAGAGGACGAATTACGTCTCCGGCGCGGCGGAGAAGAAGGTGAGTGGGCATCCTTTGCGGCAGGTCTCTGGCGGGGAGGTGTCACAGAGCGAGACAGAGATCTCGAATAGCTGCGAGTCCGTCTGCGGCCAGAAGCCTGTCCACGACGGGGTGGTGTGGCCGATCGAGACCGGCTGCGACTGGGGGTACGTGAATCGTAGGAACGGCCTCGGGACCGTTTAGCCGGAGTGCGTGATCGGGATTGGGATCGGGAGCCATCGGCTGGTGATCGACTGGATGTAGCATGTCTGGCACGGCGAGGAGGAGTTCCTGAGCGCGAGCGCGAGCGAGATGGAGTGTAGCTGCGGCCTCGCGAAGAAGGGGTGACGGAGCGGGTGTAAGACCGGCCGCGATCTCTAGAAGGAGAGCGAGAGTAGGAATAAGAGCGGGAGCGGGATCGAGATCGGGAGCCAGAAGAGCGGCTGTCGGACGAATATGACCGGGAAGAAGGGGAGCGGGAGGCACGAGCTGCTGGCAGGGCTGGCACAGTGGGTCGGGGGAGATTCTTGAGATGCTCGCGCATGTCCTCTGTCAAGACACCCATGCCAATGCTGGTGAAATAGTTGATAGAGAATCTGGTTTGGCGAGGGTTCTCTGTCGGGAAGAGGCCTTCGAAGTTGGGACGGAGGATTTCGTCTCTGAAACGGGCCTGCAAGCCGGGCAAGCCGAGATGTTCTCCTAAGTCCTGGAACAGAATCTTGATGAAGATACGACTGCTCGAGGTAGTTTCCTCCTCGTTCATGTGAATTACGGACAGAACGTGCCAGCCGATGGCATCGTTGCTGATCATATGTCCGAAGAAACGCGCGATATTGCGCAGACGGTTTGTTTCGTAGCGGTGGATAGTGTCATAGTAATTGGCAAATGCAGCCTCAAAGAGATCGGACCAGAGGCGATTGATCTTGGCGAATCGTTCACCGATAAGCCCATAGAACTTGGAGTACGTTCTTTCCTGGGAGCAACACTCGATGATCATCGACGGTAATTCAGGCTCCAGGCCTGCAGGAAGGTTGATCTTCATCAATTTGTGGCAGCATTCTTCGAAATCGATACTCGACATGATAGTCAGGTAGATCGTTCGTCGCAAGTTGACCAGGTTTGTGTTGGTCTGGTCCTTGATGTCCATTTTCTGTTCCTCCGCGTCCGATTCATCATCCGAGCTCTCGTCTTCGTCATCATCGTCATCATCTCCATCCTCATCGCTATCCTCACCCAGAATCTCGCCCTTCAATTTCTTGTAGGCCTCCTCGTGTTCTTCCCACTCGGGGTCGAATTTGAAGATATTGAGGGTGTCTTGGGTCTCGAGATCGTCATCCAAACCCAGGCGGTGGGTGATCTGATCCTCTTCTTCTACCAGATCAAGTTCCTCCTTAACGGACGGGTTGTCCTTGTATCGATCCTTGCGCACTTGAAAAAGCACCTCAATCATATATTGGATACGCTTGTCGATGTCGGCCTCGTGGAGGATATTGCGGAACTGGTCGAATACCGCGAGGGCGATCGGAGGGTTCATTTCCTCCAGGTGCTGACCAACTTCGCGAGTAAGTCCTACAGCGATCTCGACGCTGTCATCCGTTGGCTTGTGCAGAAGGAGTAGGAGGATTTGAGCTGCAAGCATTTCGTGGGCGACTTGGTTGTTGCACAGGTGCGCAATGAATGTCGTGGAGGAAATGCAGACGGCCTTATCGTTTCTTTTAAATGCTTTGCGGAACTGTGTGATCAATCTAGACAACAGCAGGTCTCCCACCTGGGGTAGTTTGGTGTTGACGATGGACGCCATGGCTGCATAGATAGGCGTAAAGGGCAAACTGGCCGCCTGCGCCTTCATGATGGAACGACAGAACAAGCCGCGTCCACGAACCAAGTTTTCACCAAAAAGTTCGGGGACGATATATTTGATATTCGAGACATTGACTTTGTTGATCAGACCGTTGATCGACTTTTTCAGCGCCTCCCAGGCCATGCGCTGGTACTCCTTGCTGGTCTTGTCGGTGATCTGGGCCTGCAGTGCACGAAGTCGTGCTGGGGGGGATATATGTGCCACCGGATCGCATATTTAACAGCTTCTCGTACTCTGCCTTGGCCGATGCTTGCTTTTCCTCCTCGGTCATGGGCTTGCGAGCAGCCTCCTTCTTTTCATGTTCGCGCACTCGCTCGGCAAGCTGTCGCTCTCTTTCAATTGCGCGATCATCATCCATCCCAGGCACATCGGCATTTTCCCTGCTGTGGGAGTCACCCGGTGGCGACCGACGGCGATTGGGCGAGGGCGACCGAGAAGGAGGTGAGCGCTTTCGAGAGGCTGCGGTTGGGGAGTCGGCGCCCGGGGGAGGGGTCGGCACACGGACCGCAGACTGTAGGACCACTGGATCCGACATTATGAATACTGGAGGAAGTCCAATGATTCAAATAGCGGGTGGAGGGGGGGAAGTGGAGGGAGGAAGCTCCTGGTCGACAAGTGGTTGCGGATCGAGAGCAGTTGGAGCGGATTAGAACCTTTTCGCGCATGTCACGTGATAGCTCCTGACAGCGCGACAGATCGCCGGCGCCGGCCACGCTGGTCTCCGTTGCAGCTCTCCCTTCTTTTTTTTCTCTCGTGGGCTTGTTCCTTTTGTCATTCCTTTCCTTTTTTATAAGCGATCACTTCTTCCACAGAATGGTATTGTCTCTTCCTCTTCCAGATTGTTGCGCGCCCTGTCATGACCTTCCACTAATCGAGAGATCTAGCTGGCGTCAACTCGTGGGTTCCGCCATGCTTTTGGCCGCCACCGCAATCTTTCTCTACTATACCGCATGGACACTGTTGATGGTATGATACTGGAAATGAATCTGGTTGGATCTAACTGAATCATTGCTAATCGTTGTCAACAGCCATTTGTCGACCCGGGCCACCCTCTCCATGACATCTTCCCCTCCGCGCGTCTGGGCCATCCGTATCCCTGTTATCCTGACCCTCCTGGGATCGGCCGTGGTTGGTACCTTCATAGGCATCGTCATGATCAACAGCAACAAGAAGAAGGCGGCCAAGGCCAAGGCTGCGGCTAAGAAGAAGACCTAAGTGACGCGGTGGCATCTTAAAAGGGGGGGAGGGGGAGCAGATCTGGGGATGTATCCTAATGGATGGAACTATGCGATTCCGGCCCCACGGGCCTTTGTATCATCATCTCGTCCACGCCTGTTTTTGATAAATTTCTTCCAAGCCAAGGATGTGTAACTCTTATTCTTACTGTTTGGCCTGATGGTCTGCTGGATTCAAAGTTCACTCGGGATAGATGGCGACTATCACCTATCACTATCAACTAATAGAAAAGTAACATCACAAAAACAAAAGAAAACAAGATATCTCCCCCCCCCCCGTCTCTCTCTCTCTGCCCAGGGACCTTGCGAACAGGCCCCCGAGTATGAGGTAGGCAGTTCGCGCTTGGGCGATCCCCAAGTTCCCAGGTTCCCGGATTCGCAAATAAAACGAATGATGAAGGGGGTTCGACCCGTGACCCTCGATGAAAGGCGGCTATGATCGGATTTCCTTGAATGGATCACTTGTTCCACGGATGACCGGGTGGCCATTTCTTAGCTAAGCCTTTGTCTCTGCAAAGGCAGAGGCAAAGGCAAAGGCCCAAAGGCTGGAGTGGGGAAGTGACATGCCCAGCTGCGCCGGAGAATGACGGGGTCAGCCTTTCCCCAAAGGCGCTGTCTGACTCAGGTACCGCGGGTCCTTTCCCCCTCTCAGTGTTTCCCCCCCCCCTCCTCCTCTTATCTTCTTCCTCCTTTTTCCCCAAGGGTTCCCCCTTTGATCGTGAATACTTGAAAACTGGAAACTTGAACTTGAACCTGAGCTCAACACTTGATCTGATACTTCATCTTCACTCGTTGGACTTCCTCCCCTGTCCACCCGGTGTTTTGCGCCTATCGCTCTTATCAACAGCTTCCCCGCGTATCGACGAGCGACTCCGCTCGACGATACGTCCATCAACAACAACACCCAACAGCACAACAACTTCCCTGGCTGAATCGCCCACCTCAAGACTATATAGGTGAGTATCCGTTGAAGACCTGGGATAAACCTCTTGGCCCTCAGGGGTTAAGATCTCCCTGCATGACAGATCGGTCTCTGATGTAACTGATCATCATCAGATCTACCGCCCCCGCCTTAGTACCGACTGGCTAGCTTCAGCCCCGCCTTCGTTTGCATCTGAAGCAGTCGGTTCAACCTCCCTCTCCTCTCCGTTCTCAGACCCCCGGAAAGGTCTTGAGAGCGGTCGTCCTCTGCCTCCTTATCCTTAGTTGCCTCCCAGAGGCATCCCCCCAGGTGAATGCCCCCGGCAGCGTCTGACGATCCGAATCGCCAGTACAGCCAGTCTTGGGAAGACGAACCCACTTTCAATACGGATCAGAGTCGCCCAGTTCAGGAGCATGAGCCAACTGGAAAGAGCAAAAAGAAGAATAAAAAAAAGGCCAAGGCGGCGGCTAGGGCTGTGACGGAAACCCCACCGGACCACCTGTATGAAACCTCCAGGTCTAGACCTAGACCCAGACCCATCTCCAACCATCCAAAGATCGCTAACACATTTCTCCAGGCTTCAAGCTTCTCCGGTAGCCCCCGTCGAGCCCTCGTCATGCCCTGACCCCACGCTAAACAATGATGTTAACCCCGTCGTCGCTTCGCCCGTGCTGGATGCCCTCGACACAATCGATGGGACCGCCGAGACCGACGTCGTTACTCGTACAGACACCTGGGCCCAGTCTGTACCATATGGAAAGAGCCCGCCCACCGATCTCATGGATGGTGATATGCCCCATGAGTCGCCCATCAACTTTCCCGCCATCCAAGCGAGAGGTGGCTTCAGTCAACCTTCCTCGGCATCGCCACCCACCCGTATTCGACCCTTCAGTTATGGAAGTGGTTACCGAAGCAGTATGCAATCCCGGCAGCCGTCTGTAGACCGCAGGAAGAGTCAGTCTTATGGCAGTCCGCTGAGCAATCTCGCACCTCCTCCCCATCTTCCCCAAGCGCACTTTTACGGTGCTCCCGATATCGACCTTGGCGCCCAGCTCCGGGCTTCAAGCGATGCAGCCTATTCATTTTGCGGTTTTGATACTCTACCCAGCTTCTCGGCGAAATCACCTCGGGCGGGGATCACTGTCTTGGTGGTAGGCTCTGATGGTGCCGTGGAGATCCTCGCTGTTGAAGACCGCCGGACCCGCCTAGTCGGGCAGATCACTGGTCTCGGTGGCAGGGTTCTCGAAGCAAAGATCTTGTCTGGACAGTCATTCAATGACTCACATACAGCATCTCAACCGCACATTGCAGTCACGATCCACGGCCCGATTCCCTCAAGTGAAGAGGAGGCGCCCGCTTCCTCTGCAGGCTCTGATGTTCGTGAAGCTTCCCCATCGATGGCGCGAGGCCGTTCGGGTGATAGAAGATCTGAGCCTTCACTGTATCAAACCAGAGTTCAGGTATATTCCTTGCGGTCTGGAACACACATTGCCACGTTGTTCGCGAGCAAAGCCATGCCGGCGTTGGAGAATATTCCCGGCCAGCCTTCTTTTGCTCCGTTGCCTATTGGCAGCCTGAAACTTTTCACAAGTGGAAATCATCTGGTAGTTGCTTCTGGTATTAGCGGAGAGGTTTATGTCTTCCGTTACACCTCACCAGATATCTATCAGTGTTTGGGGAAGACCTGGACTAATATTCAGACCGGAGAAATCCGACGATATTCCACCTCGTCGAGCTCTACTGATCCTGATGGTTCTCACAGCGACGCTCCCCGCACTTTTCCTACTGAGCGGCCTATATTGGCCTTGCAAGGAAGATGGTTAACTATCGTGCCCCCTTCAACCTCTTACCGAGGATCGATCCAGGGCATTGTACCCCCGGGTTTGATGCATGACAAAGCCCAAGGATTGGAAACTCGCAGTCCTCCTAGTGTGCCATCTGTCAACTGTGCAACTGACGTGGGGGAAGGAGAGAGCTTCCTTAATAAGATGGCTCGAGGTGTTACCCAGGAACTGGTGAAAGGTGCCCGCTGGATGGGTGACCAGGGACTCCAGGCCTGGAATAACTACTGGAATAGTCCACAGGCCCCCGGCACGCCACCTCCCTCTCGACCAAATCGGCTTCCCGAGAACATGGCCCAAGGTTATGGGGCATTCCCTCCGACTCATGCTCAAGACACCCAGGCAACGTCCTCGCCCGAGCCAGATACGGTTTCCATCATTGACCTCAAGCGCTTTGATGATGGCGTGGATACAAAATCCGCATCACTTTATCCTGTGGCTACCTTCCAGGTTCCCAATGGCTGTAGTTTTCTCTCGCTATCCCCGAATGGCCTAATGCTCTTCACGGGTAGCAAGAAAGGGGATGTGCAATATGTTTGGGATCTTATGCAGCTCAAACATTGTCGAGCGATGGCTTTCATCGCTGATGATCACAATTCCCACAGCCCAAATGTGCGACAGGTGGCAAGATACGCAAGATTAACCACGTCTAGCATTATGGATGTGATATGGACACCACCCGTTGGGGATCGGTTGGCAGTTATTACAAGAAAGGGCACAGTCCATGTCTTTGACCTACCTCAGAGTGCATTTCAATGGCCGCCGTTCCGACGAGCTCGCTCTGCAGGGAAACGATCGCCGTCCGTTGAACCTGCAAGCGATGATGTCTCTTTCCAACCGAACACCGGCAATCCGTTGTCTGCGGCAATGAAGCTTGTTGGAGGCCGGACTCAGCCGTTCTTCTCGGCTGTCAGGGACCGTGTTCCTGCATCTGGTGCGGGGTTCTCGGGTATGAGTGGATTTGCATTGCCAACTGCAGCTAGCATCAAAGGTGGGAAGGTTGTGGCCGCCGGGTTGAGCAAGTCCATGGGTGCAGCTGCCACGGGTACTGTCCACACTCTCCGACATGTCGGTGAAAACCGGCTGCATTTGACTGGTCTTGCTCGGGACCCGGCATCATACCGAGTCATGTGGGTTTTAAATAAGGGTTCCGTTCTCCTGGGAGTGGTCGACGACGGGAATTTCAAGCTATACCGACTCAAGAAAGGTCCCACAAACCAGAAGAACCGTCAGTTTCACTCTGTTATAGGTGGCAAAGAAAGTCAGTTCAAGCTACCTGCCAATTTGCAGAACGCCTGTGGTCCAGCACCTCTTGTGGCGTATGATCCAGGGGTGGTTGTCCATGCCTCTCTTCTCTTGCCATCGGTCAGCTCGCAACCAACCAGTGCGGCCAAACCGTTCTGCCAGCCTCTTTCCCAGGCTGAGATCGAGACCAACACCCCATACCAACCTTTCCATACAGATCAGCGTGTCAGTCTTCATGTCTTTTCTACGGAGACTGGAGCGTCTGTTCCCAGCGGTCAGTGGGTTTTTGGGAATGACATGCCTACCACGAAAGTGCACGTCAGATCCTACAGCAACAGCGGTGATAGCAATGGGGATGATGAAGATGAGAACGCCGCCGTTCATGGACATTCTCTGGGGGCTGGTGGGGATATGGAGAACCTCATTACCCTTGGAAACAGCACGGGCAACGTGGAAGAAGTTGTCATCACGACCCGACGCAAGAAGAAACACTCTACTCCTCTGAAGGCGGATGATGGGTTCTTTGAGGACGACTGCGAAGTCCTAGACTTCGCAAGGGATCGGGTTTGATTTTCTTTTTGTTTTGTTTTCTTTTTTCTTTTGTTTTTTCTTGCATTGCCTCCGTCTCGGATGCTGATGATTTAGATTTCCATTTCCTGCTCGCGCGGCGTTGAAGACTTGCAGCCGGAGTTTTGGGCTTTTTCTGCTTCTTTGACCATATCTAAGAAATTGCATCAGATGTATCCTCTTCGCGGGATCGTTCTGCCTGTTCTCTTTTCGGTTCTTTTATCTTTGCTTTCCAGCACTTTTTTTGACACCACACTGCTCAACAGAAATTACAATACCCCCAACCCTGTACTGATTTTGTTCTACAACTTTGATAGATGGAAGGTTTTTTGCATGCTCAGTTTTCACCCTCTCTTTATGTCCGTTTCATAATGTTTTGAATCTTCTCTCTCTTTCTTGGGTTTCGAAGTGACTCCGAAGGGCTCTCACTCCTCTCTCTGGGATGACGATCCGCCTATCACTCGTTTTGGGCTTAATCGCAATACAACGAATCAAGCCTTATCCGGCTCAACAATATTCAACATAGATCATTTTTTTTCCTGGAGAAGGAGAATATAGTAGAGTAGATATCTCAATCCTATACTTACGACGAAACAAGCTCCATCTCTTCCTCCCACCACTCCCGAAAAACCTTCAATCTCTCCGTCCGCACCCTAGCCATCTCCCTCCCCGTCCCCGTCTTCATCATTCCCTCCAAAAGCTCCAACTTATCCCCAAAATGCTCAATAGAATTATTCATATCCCACTTCCCATCAACAAGAAATTTCTTTCCCTGCGCACCGAGAAAAGTAAACGTTCGCCCAATTCCAACAGCCCCAATCGCATCCAGACGATCTGCATCCTGAACAATAGCCAGTTCAATAAATCCCTCCTCATCAATCAGTCGTCGAATCACGGCTGGATCCTTGATCTCGGTTGAATACGATACATGCGATACTATCGTCTGAACCCTTGAGGCTAGATCTTCTGGGGCGCCATTCTTGATGAGCGCGTGGTGGACCATTGTCGTTGGGTCGAGGGTTGAGGCTGGGGTTGAGGCTTGGCTGTCTGATTCTGATCCTAGTACCGACGCGAGACTGTGCAGGTACTTCTTATCTCCGATGTCGTGGAGTAAAGCTGCGAGTTTGACGACGGCTCCGGAGTAGGGTGTTGTTGGGTGCAGGGCGCGCTCGGAGGCGAGGATTTTGTTGGCTAGGGCTACGACTCTGTGCACGTGGGCTGGGTTGTGGGAGGGGTCGTGGCCGGACATGCAGGTGTTGACGAATGTTGACATTGCGTCGTAGAGGGTTGTGAATTGCGGGCTTGTTTCGTCCATTGTCACGTTGTTTTCCCTGCTGTAGGCAGATGGCTGTGAGGATGTTAGTTGGATTTTTCAGATGAAACATGATGTAAATGCTTGACGTGGTACTAGTAGGGGTTATCCTTGGAATTCAAGCTTCTATGTTGTAACTGACCTTCAATATGTCTGTGAAATTCAAGTTGTGTATTTGCGGAAACATATATCACGCAGAACTTGAACTTTCCCCGCAGTAAACAAGAAATTCGTTGGCGGTGAAGGTGAAGGTGAATCCCGAGGTGCCTCAGCCTCGCTGCAACCTTCCCCTTTTCCAAGGTTTGGAACCTTGGAAGGTTCAACTTGAAGTTCAAGCTCTCTTTGCCGTGCGTGCATACAGCCTACGGACCAAGTGCCTCGCCAGTGCAGATTCAAATCCGACTATCCTGCCCAACGTTCCCATGCGGGGAACTTACAAGGGTGGGGCCTGATCTGCGGAATGCGACAGCTGGATTACTAGAGGATGCCCAATTGATCGACGCGTACTTACCGTACCAGCACACTAGCTATGCTACAGATGTACTGTACCCATTGGAATAAAGACCGAGGAATGCGGGTTCTAAAAAAAGAGTCTAAATAATGTACGAGGTCATGCGGACCGACCCTTGTAAAAAGGGAAAAGATTTGCCCTGGGGGAAAAAATTATTCATCATTCACTTCAAGTTGCAGTAGGGCTCTAAACCAGGTAATCGAATACTATCACACAGGTGGAAAGAAACTAAAAATTAGGGACCGGATCAGATGGGTGATGGTTCCATCGTCGGTTCTCCTGGATATTAAGAGAGAGAAAAAAAGGTTCTGAGACACCCATTTGCACGAGGACAGGACATGCTACGCTTAGAGAGCGAAGGCAGCGAGGACAAGGCCGAAGAGGCCGGCGCTGGAGGCGCCTAGCTTGACATTGGCGTTGGCGGCGTTGCTAGTGTGGGCAGAGCCAGTCTCGGTGGTGCCACTGGCGGAGCCGCTAGCGGTGCCGGAAGCATTGGCTGGAGGGAGGAAGTTAGTTAGGGCGATCGACGATCATCAGAGGTGTGGTGGGGAAGTGGGAGCACATACAACCAGTCTCGGTGCTGGAGGAGCTAGAGCCAGTCTCGGTGGCCGAGCTGCCAGAGGCAGTGGTTCCAGAGCCGGAGGAGTCAGTGGCAGAGGTGCCGTCAATGGGGAAGTAGTGGGAGCTGAAGCAGGCCTGCTGGCAGTCGGTGTACTTCTTGGTATCGGCAGCAGTGCCGGTACCCTGAGGGCAGGCGGCGACACAGCTGTTGGTGTCGTTGACCTGGGTCTTGTCGGGGCAGGGAACCTTGTAGCACTTGGCGGTACAGCAGATGTCCTTAGCGGCACCTAAAGGTCAAAGGAGTTAGCAGGGGGAGAAAAGAATAGGGAATTTGTTGTGTTTCTAGCATACAGCTCTTCGCGCACTGGGCCTCCGGAGTCAAGGTTGTGGTAGTCTCAGCTGCGGTGGTGGTTGTCTCAGCGGCAGCGAGGGCCAGCAGAGCAGAGAGGGCGAGGATGTTCAGCTTCATGGTGAAAGGCGGGAAGGTTAATTGAATTGAACTGGAATGAATTGAATGAGAAACGAAGGTAGCGACAGCAGATAGTGGTCAACGAAAGACTTTGGGGAATGAGAGGGTGAGAGGCAGAAGGAGAAGAAGGAAAGCTGAAGGGAATAAATAGTCGCCTGTTTGGGTTTTTTTCGTTCTTCCCCCCCTCGGACCACAAGTCTGGTGAACAAACTCCTCTCTTCTCCTCACTTTTGCCCCAAACAAGGGCCACCGAGCTCAAACGAGCAACTAGAAGATTAAAAAAAGACCAGGGTGATTGGGGCGAGGACTCTCATTCGTTGGGTCTCAGATTTGACCCATCCGGGATTTTCTACCTGTTTCTCGCCAGGGTCCAAGGGTGCATCCGCGCTAAGGAATGGCCTTTCCAGTTGGTCCAATGGGGACCCCAATTGATGAAGGGATCGCCTGAGGGATACCATGTTGGGAAGAAAAGGTTCTCATCTGGTGCATATCCCTTACCCTATCTCTTTGCGCTAACGGGGCCCCTCGGTGGATCTGTCAAATCTGGGGATGCTCGGCTGTGCCCGCGATCGACTGTTCGGATCCTGGATGGCACTTGGTGCACTTTGTCCACTTTGTACGAAGTGCAGAGAATACATACATCGCCAGATAGCAATGGCGGTGACATTCATGCTTCCAATATGAGTTTCCCATGGCTCTCTCTCTGTTCCTGTCCATGGTGCCCCTAGCTAGCGTGGCTAGGGCAGGGACCTGCAATGGCCACTGGTAATCTGTGTGAGGGATCCAGTGGACCCTCAGCCGAATCTGCAAGTGATACCCCTTCGGAGACATGTTATTGATTTTGATGCTAGTCAAATTTGCAGTCTGCAACAGCGTGGGGGATCCCTCATGAAAATTATGGATGGGCCCAAACCAGCACTGAATTCACCCGAATCGCTGAAGAGCTGAAGAGCTGAAGAGCTGAACAACTGAGCGCTGAGTGTGAGTGCATTGACTCTATTTTATTTATTTCTAATTTTTAATTTCCTTTTTATTTCGTACTTTGTAGTCTGTTCGAAATTGCATTGTGACTGGCCTATTACCCCTGCAGGAACAAAACAAACATGCCAAACACTTCGGCGATAGTCACATGATATCGCGACGCGCCGCGGCGCGCCAGGTCACCCCAGGACACCCCGAAGCTTTGGATGCCTTAAGCTGGGGCTCACTTTGGAGATAACCAGGCGACATGTCCGACTCCGAGTCGGACTACTTCGATGATGATGACTTTGTTGTCCCAAGTACCCCCGCCGAACACCTCCCTTCACCCCGACCCACGAAACGCCGTCGCGTTCACTCGCCAGTACGCGGGGCAGGTCTCATCGACGATGCGGCGTCCGAGACTGATTCGGCCTTGTCGATGGATGGCAGTCTGATGGAAGATCGCCGCGACCCGTCCTCCGACTATGAAGATCTCCAACAGCGACCCAAAAACCGGAGCTTTGTTCCGAAACAAAGCAATTTCCAAGAGAACATGTTTGTCACGCAACTCACGCAACCCGACTCCAGCCCTGAACGCATTCGAGGTCCTAGATGGAAAAAGCCGGACCCGAAATCGCCCACTCCGGAACCGATCCGAACTCCCGAATTGAACAATTCAAAGCGACACTCGAACAATGATTACAATGAGGAGGAAGAACTGAGGGCGGCGCTGGCTGCTTCCCTGGATGCATTCGAAGAGGAGAAGCCGTTCAGAACAGCATGGGAGCCTCAAAAACCAACAAATACAGGCCATCAGCGAGTAATGTCCAACCAGGCTCATGAAGCTCCGTCGCTGGATGTCTCTTTCGAGCTAATCGACATTCCTGACGATGCGTTCGACTCGTCCCCAAATCTTTCGCCGGTAACCCGACCTGCGCAAACAAGTTCCTTCCAGTCGAGCTTCTCTCGCCCTACAGACCATCCAAAATACACTCGCCAAAGTACTCTTTACGGAATGACAGCACAGAATCCGGACCTCCTACCACCCCAAGAACACCACCCGCCGCCGCCTGATAAGGTCGAGCGTCCAACACAGCACAAGCTCAATCAAGATGCCCTCGACACATGGTGGTATCCGACAAATTTGGGAAAAACGCGCGACTATCAGTACAACATTGCCCAGAAAGGTCTCTTCCATAACCTGCTGGTTGCGTTGCCGACAGGTCTGGGAAAGACCTTTATCGCGGCAACCGTCATGCTCAACTGGTTTCGATGGACGAAAGATGCGCAGATTGTCTTCGTTGCCCCGACCAAACCCCTGGTTTCACAACAGGTCTCGGCGTGTCTAGACATTGCCGGCATACCTCGATCGCAAACAACGATGCTTACGGGAGGCGCAGCACCCGGAATTCGCGCAGAAGAATGGCAATCTAAGCGCGTATTCTTTATGACACCACAAACGCTGATAAACGACTTGAAGACTGGCATTGCTGATCCCAAGCGCATTGTATTGCTCGTTGTCGATGAGGCTCACCGTGCGACTGGTGGCTATGCCTACGTTGAAGTGGTCAAATTCCTACGGCGCTACAATCAAAGTTTCCGCGTTCTCGCGCTGACTGCAACACCAGGATCGACCGTGGAATCGGTCCAGGCAGTTATTGATGGGCTGGACATCTCGAGGGTGGAGATCCGTACAGAGAATTCCATTGATATTCGGGATTATGTGCATGCCCGTAATATCGAGATCGAAACATTCGAGAATTCCGAGGAGATGCTCTTCTGCATGGATCTTATGTCCACAACACTACGCCCGTTGGTAGAGCAGTTGACGACCCTGAATGCATATTGGGGCAGGGATCCCATGGCACTCACAGCATATGGTCTCACCATGGCCCGGCAAAAATGGATGCAATCAGACGCTGGCCGAAACGCAAATTTTGGGTTGAAAGGCAAGGTCAATGCGATCTTCACGTTACTTGCCAGTCTTGCCCATGCTATCGACCTATTGAAATTCCACGGCATTGTGCCCTTTTATCGCCATCTGCACCACTTCAAGTCCGGTACTGATGGCCAGAAAGGTGGAAAATATCAGAAGCAAGTGGTGCAAGATGAGAGCTTCAAAAAGCTCATGGGTCATCTTGAACCTTGGAGCAAAAACCCCGAATTCATCGGCCATCCGAAACTCGAGTACCTCAAGTCTGTCATTCTCAATCATTTCATGGACGCAGGCGAGGGGCGGGACACCGGTGAAAATACCGACCATCCGGCCACTCGAGTGATGATTTTCGTTCACTTCCGTGACAGTGCCGAAGAGGTAACCAGAGTGCTCAAGCGTTATGCGCCGATGATTCGGCCCCATATCTTCGTCGGCCAAAGTAGTGCCAAAGGCTCCGAGGGTATGGACCAGAAGACGCAGCTCAGGATCATTGAAGAGTTCAAGGCAGGAAAATATAATACGATTGTCGCTACCTCAATCGGAGAGGAAGGTCTAGATATTGGAGAAGTAGACCTCATTGTCTGTTATGACTCCTCGGCCTCTCCAATCCGCATGCTACAACGTATGGGTCGAACTGGTCGTAAGAGAGCAGGAAACATCACCCTCTTGCTCATGAAAGGCAAGGAAGAAGATTCCTATACCAAAGCCAAGGACAACTATGAGAAGATGCAACAGATGATTGCAAGTGGCTCTCAATTCACATTCCATGATGATAGATCTGCTCGTATTCTCCCTGCTGGAATACGCCCAACACCTGATAAGAGGATCATCGAAATCCCACCAGAAAACTCTCAACAGGAACTACCCGAGCCAAAACGCCGAGGCCGAGCGCCAAAGAGACCCCCAAAGAAGTTCCACATGCCTGATGATGTCGAGACAGGGTTTACTCGAGCTTCCACGTTGGAGGAGGGGTTTAGCAAAGCAAAAACGAAAACGAAAGCGAAAGCCAAGGCGCCAGCGCCAAAACCACGAGCTCGCACACCCACCCCTGAACCTGTCGATATCCCGCTTCTGGAGGATGTTCTACTGAATGCGACTGAGGAAAGTGAACTCGAGCAGCATTATCAAAACATTGGTGACACGTCGCCGGAGTTCATTAGATATCCGCGTCACGATGCGTTTCCACGTTTGCAACTTGTTGCAAGACCCACCAGAACCGTGCGGCATGGCTCTCTTACACAACGCATGATTACTACCTTGCAGAAGATGAACAGGGCCGGTCCTGATTGTGAAGCAAGATTCAAGCAAGTCTTGGCTCGCGAGTCTGCTACACCTCCTCGGCCATCTTCGAAGGTCTCGAAGGCGTCAACGGAGAAACGTCGATCGAGTAAGAAAGCAACCAAGACGCCTCGACAGTCCAATTCTGGCAAGAAATCCGCAAAGACTCCAGCTCTAAGTCCTCAAAATGCGGAAATTGCCGCTCTTTTGTTGTCTCCAAATACGTCTGATATAGAACCATACCCCAAGAGGAAGGCTATTCAACGATCTTCTTTGCAGGATCGAATGGACGTGCCGCAACCTCTCCAGCAGGTCGTGAACCTCCCAGAGAGTGACCTCAGTGATGATGGGTCCGATTTTGATCTTCCAGATGCCAGCATTTTTTTCAGGAATGACTCAGATCCAGATCCAGAGCCAAACCCAAAGCCAAATGCTCGTAATAGCAGACCAGTTATTCAGGACAGTGATGATTGGTGAGAGCTACCCTCAACCATGAATCCTGCGGGGGAGTCTCTAGAATGTCACGAGTTATGGTTAAATGTACATATACATGTGTTGTGTTGATAGCAGATATTAATTAAACTGGGTCAATCGTCGAATTGACCCAAATTCTCACAGGTTCCCTTCTTATGATGCGTCGATGTTGTTTTGCCCTTGTAGTTGTAGATCGCCAATTTTGCCGCCACGCCCGAGAATCCCATGCGCACGCACCTCTAACCATCAACAACTTGCCCGGAGATCAGAACATACTCCAAAGTCCACAACCCCCCCTCTCCTCCACCATGGCCGATCAACAGTTTGACAGCGCGCTGTAAGTACTGTAAAT